TCAAAGTGAGGTACGACACCATAAGCCAACTGCTGCCTCCGTTCCAGGTTTGCCGAAGGCTCACCATCTGGGCAAGGTCTCTAGGGTGGCGGGTTCCACGTTAAACCAGATACTCTAGTTAAGAGCTTTGGTTTCCAAAGCACTAACCACATTTCTTGATTTGAAATGGACCTTTAGAGAACGTGGAGCAGAACTTGGCCTCCCAGCTTTAGATGGGGAACTAAGGGCCGGCTGAGGACCAAGCTCAGAGCACTGGTAGTTTAGCCCTGAGCTCCGCGCTCACCTTTTTATTGGCAAGTCTGGTTCTTAAGTTGGGTGGAGGGCATCCTGCTGCGTGTTTGCAGACATGATTTGGATCATCATAGGCTACATTAGGCCTTTTAATTCTTGTATGGGAAACTGAGAATTCCTGTCCTCTGTAATATTTCTTTCCATATCTAGTATCCAAATCTTGTTATCCAAGAAAATGAGTTTCTCTTCTGAGGTAAATTTGTAAAGGAAATGCAACACTCTCTGCCCAAATCTAGGTAAACATGGAATCTCAGAACATAGGCTTCAGTCTTGATCTAATGCAGGAGAATTTATGAAACTCACAAGTCTCTTGAGCCTCAGTTTTCCTGTTTGTAAAATCCTGGTGCTAACTGTGGTCATCTAACTAAGCAAAAGTCTAATGATGAAATGTGTTCTTCACCAATGTCTGAGGGATGTGTTACTAGACCCAATGTTCAGTTTAAATCTCTGCTGCCTTCCTCTGTCTTTCCAATGTACCTGAGGCTTGCCCAGACACAAGACCCACAGAACACAGTCACCTATTCCAGAGACGACTCAGAGCCCATCCTGTTGACCTCAGCTGTTCCCACCCATTTCCACTCTCCCCTATCGAGGCACACACACCCTTGGAATGTTCCCCTGACCACTGCCTCCAAGCAGGGAGCAGCTCCCTTCCTCCCCAGGGTGACTCACGACATTTCTTGCTGGCTTGCTTTCTCCATTGTGCCTTTTTTAGGTTCAGAAAAAGAATGTGTCAAATTTAAAACTCAGCATAGCACATCTATTTAAAGTGCAGAGGAAGCAGCCTTTGAAAGGCTTGCAGAATGTGAAGCCTTTCGAGCTTGGAAGGCCTCAGCCCCCTAGTCTTCCTCCTGCTTTCTAAGGCTCCACTGGGAAAGGCAGGTGCACACTTGTAGATAGCAGAGAAGAGGTCTGATGTCCCCTGGGTTGGGGACAGGAGAAATCTCTCCAAGGGCAGGGAGAGTGGGAGACAGCAGCCTTAGGGTGAGCCTGGGGGACAATATCCAGCCACTGTTTCCTTTGCAGCCCCTTGCCCTGAGCAGGAATTGTAGCCCCGTTGTTGCTGGAGAATAGGTTCTTGTCTCGCACAGGGAAGAATTCAAGAGCGAACCATATTAAAGTGAAAGAAGATTTATTCAGGGAGATACACACTCCATAGACAGAGTGCAGGCCACCTCAGGAATCTAGAGAGGTGGCCTTAGGAGATATACATGCTAAAGACGGAACCTGGCTGCTTTCACTCATGAGGTGCAGGGCTGGTTAGTTTTTATGGGCTGGGTAATTTCATATGCTAACGAGTGGGAGGATTATTCCAAGTCTGTTGTGGAAGGGGGCAGATTTCCAGGGATTTGGCCCTGCCCACTTTTGGGCCTTTTCTGGTCAGTCTGGGACCTGTCATGGTGGACGTGGATGTGTCACGAGGCTCAAGGTCTACTAGAAGTCAAATCTTCTGCCATCTTGGTTCTAACCAGTTTATGTTCTGTCTTCAATGGCTGCGTCATTCTTTTAATGGTTGTGCCCTGCCCCCTTCCCTCTTGTCTCACCCCAGGCCTCTGCAGTTTGCCTTAATCTTGCCCAGGCTCTTGTCATCCTGACACATTATGTGTCAAATAGATCATTTGTTTATTGTCTGGGCCAGGAGAGGGAGGGAGGAGTCGGGGGTTGGTTTCTCAGCCCCCTTGGGGGAGCTGCAGAGAGACAGGGAGATGGGCTTGGCCCTGCGCACATACACGCACGCACACACAGTGTTTAGACGTCTGTAGGCCACTGTCTAATACTGATGGATATTCTCGAGAAGCTCTTGTTCTGTCATCCAGAACATTTTACAGGTGGATGTTTCACTCACCCTTGACCTGCTCTGGGCAGTGTGGTGGGGAGCATCACACCAGGGTAGGGCTTGCTCGAGTCAGCATGCTCCCACGTAAATCCTTTGGAGCAGCATGGGGGGAGCCCTCTTCCCCCTGAGCCGTTGTCGTTGAGGAACCAGGGCGGTCCTGGTGCTGGGGGAGGTACGCTTACTCTGCAGAGCCTCCCCAAGCCGCATGCTCAGAGCGAACCCTTCTCAGCTCTGGGCTCTGATTTGACTCCTCTCTCCCAAAGACTTGCTTATTTTGTTTCTTGCCCTACTGGGCGTGGGCTGCTGCGCCCCAGCCTGCCGAGCACAGGCCTAGCCACCCGCAGTCTCACTCGGGGCCTGGGGACAGAAACCCATGGAGGGGTGTGTGTGTGATTACCTGAGCACAAGGTGGCTTGCTGCTCTGGGGGATGAAGAGCCCAGAGACTTTTTGGGAGATTCGGGCTGCAAGGTCAGCTCAGGCCCCAGTGCTCTGCACCCCCTGGCCGCTGAGCTGGGTTTCGTCTCCAGGCACAGAGAGCTGCCTCTGCCGCCTCGGCGCCTGATGGACTGTCTTCGCTCCAGATGGAGCTCTGTGGTTAATGAGGGAGAGAGCACTGTGGCAGGAGCTGCCTCAGAGGGAGAGAGGGAGGGAGGGAGGGGAGCGCCAGAGGCCGACGCGCCTCTGCTGCTGGGCTCCCTTGAGCCCAGGAGAGAGTGGCTCGGATGCCTGTGAGAACTTGGGAACAGGCCTTGGTGACAGCTGGGGGAATTTATTCACACTGTCAGGAGAGAGGCTTACACCTCGAATCAGTTCCAACTCTTTATTTTTAAATCCCCCAGCTGGCTAAAGACTTAGAAGGAAAGATGTGACAATCATTTGCATCTTCAACCCAGGCAGGCTGTCACTCAGGGTCCAGGAAAAGGCTACCAGGGCTGGGCTGGTGAGCCGGAAGCTGAGCGGCAGGAGGTGGTGCTGGGCAGGCAGGCCAGGCAGCAGCGGCACCCCAGCCACCACAATTTAGGAACATTTCTACCCAAAGAGAGAAGCTGCGATTGGCCCAGCTTGAGCCCAGAGGGGGCACTGGGAGGCCCTCCGCATGCCTGGGGGCACCCTGTGTGCCCTCGGCTCCCGCTGCACAAGCCTCCCCAGAGGGCAGACCCTGGGGGATCACATGTCCTCTGGACAAAGGAACACAAGCCAAGGGTTCTGGCTGTGGTGGGTATTTAGTTTTGGATGCTAAGCATCTGAACCCCCTTCCTGGGTCTGGGGGTCCCCTAAATTATGAAGCTGGCCCCACCTCCCCTTGAGAAGGGGGAACTCAGACACTGGCTTTTCCAAACTCCCTTTCAGCTGGCAAGCCCTCAGCTGATGCAACACACCTGGCGGAGTCTGACTTGACAGCTAGAGGCTGTGTGAAATCTACTCTGGTGACAGGTGGCAGCCTCTATATTTAGTGCCTGAAAAAGCAGAGGCGAGGCTCCTAGTGACAGTGGTTGGCATTGGGGGCATCTGTGGTGTGAGCCTGGGAGCGACCTTGAGGCCTTGTTCTTGGTCAGGGAGTCGCCAAGCTTGATGATCATGTGACTTATCCAATATCCTTTAAGAAACACATTTCCTAACCAGCTAGATTTGCTGTAAGTTGCAACTAAAAACTGTGACATGGTAGCGAAAGGTGACACGGGCCATGAGAGAATAGAGCCAGTGACTGTGAATTCTCCTTGGACAGGCTAACCTGGGTTTGCATCTGGAAAGGTCTTTCAAACAGGAAAAATGAAAGGTGCAACCATTGCCCTGGGCCTGGTTCAGATACAGCTTGGTCCTACTTGGACAACTCAAAGCCGTGCCCTTGGCAAAACCTGGGTCCTCAGCCCACCAGCTGGAGGCAGAAGTGGCTGGCAGCCGCTGCACTGAGAGGGGCCAGAGCCACTCAGGATCTAGGTTTGAGGCGTGGTTGTCCTGAAGGACCAGTGCTAGGAACGTTTCCATGGAAGGCGGGGACAACGTGCCTCCTTAGAGGTCTTAAAACAAGACAGGCGTTTTTTCATCCCCGCCACACTAGTCCATATTCTGTAAGCCGAGCCATGCCTGGCCAGTAATAGGCCCAGTTAGTGCTTTCTCGAGTAAACTGATTTTTCAGAATACTTGACATATTGCAACAAGGCAGAGGGATGAATCATGTGACTTGAGAGTTCATTGGTTCCAATGATTCCAGTCCTTCTAAGAAGGCATTTTTGCCAAAATTGCACATATGTTCCTTAAAAACATACATAGTTGTTTTCTGATGGAATTTTTTCCTCTCCCAAACCATCAGACACTCTGTGCATTAGCTTTGTGAACAATCTTTCTCGCAGTTCAGATCTTGTTCCTTGGAGAACTCTCTTGGTAACTTAAGGACACGGTGTTTCCTAGATGGCTTTGAGGGGGCAAGAGGGATGCTGGGCTCTAAGAAGGCAGCACTGTGGCTTTGCTTTCCCCTCACAAGCAGAGCTATCAGTGGCCAAGTCCGAGAGAACAGAAGGCATTCTGGGAACACACAAAGTGCAGAGCTGTACGGAACAGATGGCAGGGACTTCAAAAGCTTAAGAGTCACCTTGAAAGATAATGGCGCCAAGGGAGGGGGTAGGAGGCTTCTGTACCCTGTGACAACAAGGAAGCAGGGAAGACAAAAGCAATTTGCCAGACTTGTGTGCAAGTCAATAGAACTGAGAGGTGTTCCGCTGGAATTTACATCAAGAGAGGCCGAGCCTCCTATTGAAATGGCATCAGTCAACTGGCATCAATCAACTGACAAACTGTTTCTCTTGCCTCCCAATCTTCTGGTCTTTTTTCTTTCTTTTTTCACTCGAGGAGCATTTATAACCTCTTTTTTCCAGGTAGTTATTGTGTAGCGAACGCTCTGTTTGTTCACTGTGCCTCAAAAGAGCTACAGAAGCTCTAACTGACCTCCAGCCAGACGTCCACTGGGGAGACACCGGCATGACCGCAGAGCCTCCCCCAGCCTGGCCTGTGTTGCCATCAGGCAGATCTGGTGTCCTGTGACCTGGAAGCCCCGGGCCCCACCTCCAAAGGCAGGGAAGCTGGGGGAGTTCCTGTGCCTTGCTTGCACTTAGTTCAGCGTGAGTTTGTGGGACTCTTGCACATTTGACAGATGGGCAAACTGAGGCCCACAGAGGCTAAATAACAGCCCGGGTCATGGAGCTGCTGGTGTTGGTGCCAGGAGGGGAGGCTAGTCCTTCTGACTATCTGATGGAACCTTTGTCCTTGCTGCTGGGGCCCCCTGGGTCAGAGCCAGGGCGAGCGGTGGGTGGGCGGCAGCTGCTTTTCAACTGAGGACGTGACAAGAAATGTCTGTTCCTGGCTCTGAGACAGGACACCCCATCCCCAGTGCCAGCGAAGGTCACAACTGGCCTCTCTGCTCTGGGGAGGGAGAGAGGAAAGAGCACCCCGCCCCTACTGCCGCCCTGATGCGAGGCACCAGGGGCTCCTAGTGGGGAAACCCGGCCAACCAGGATGCTGGTGGGCAGGACAGGCCTCTCCCCTCCCCCTCGTACATCTGTTCCTCCCCTCCGCGTGGGCCTCAGCTGCTCAGGAAAGGGATCAAGCCTCAGAAGCCTGCTCTTCTTTAAAGCTGACAGCTTGATGCCTGTGGAAATGCGATACTATTTCAGGATTTCATTTGAAAGAGGTTTCAAAAGAGTGGATCGAAGGCTCGGCTGAATTGCTTATTATGGCTCTTCTCCTGACCGCGTCTCGGTTGGTGAGCCCAAACACGGCATCTGCGGCTTTGCACGTCAGCCACAGGCAGGTGATTGTTCTAAATTAGCACCTGGCTCATTCTGGAGGGCTGTAACTCTTCCCGAGCCTTCGCCCAGAAGCACCTGGGCCTTTCACGGCTTGTACCTTTCTTGTATTATGTGTGTTTGAAATGATCCACCAGAGTGTCTGTCGGGTGAATGACACAAGTCTTGTTTATGTCAGGCAAGTCTTAAAGACACCAAAACTAAAGGCTGTGACCTCCCTGGACCCTCCAAGGCAAATAGGAGCCAAGAACCTTCCCAGGGAAGATGGGGCAGGGACGGGGTGTTCCAGGCACTGCAGGAGCTCCAGGGTGCAGGCAGGAGCTGCTGGCCAGGCCACCCACACTGTCTCTGGGATCGGCCCCCAGCGCCAGTGCTGCCTTCCCGTCCAGCACCTCATCTGACTCTGTCACACTGTCCCCACCACACTAAAACCTGGTCCTCTGTTCCCATCACCCTTCCTCTGTGGGATGAGGTCCTTGAGTGCTGAGTCGCATCTCACTTATCACTGCATTCGCACATCTGGCACAGGGCATCCCACCTGTGCTGATGAATGGAGGGAGGTGTCATAGGCTGACATTAATAGGAATAGGGGGATGCAGGAGTCCACTGGAGCAGAAACTGGGAGAGAGTTCACGGACTTTTTCTTTACGTAACTACTCTGTACCTCAGCAAGGAAAATATTGTGGTTTCAGAGAGATAGGAAAACGAAGGCGTTGAAGGCCTGTGTAAATGGTGCCTGTGCAGAACCCATGGGTAAGGGTGCTGAGGCCTGTGTTCCAGACTCTCTCCCAGGGGCAACTGTGAAGTATGTGGCTTGAAGAGAGGCTCTTTAGCAGGAAACATCAGGAAACGGGAGGCTTCCCTCCTGCCTTTCCTTGGCTTCAATTCTGGTTCCTACTGCATCAAAACTCGAGGGGCCCTGGGCCCCTTGCTGTCCCCTCAGAGCAGCTAGAGCATAGGCTTTCTCCACCGTCATGCAAACTTCCGAGCAAAGATCCAAAGGCCAAGTTTCCATTTCAGAGGCACAGCCATCACAAATTTAAGCCATGACTCTCAACCAGCTAGAGCTCACCATGAGGCCACCTGGCGACTGTCCTTTTAAAGTCCATTAGTCACAGAAAGGGTTTTCCCTCTTGGGTATGGTCCTCCTCCCGCCCCAACACCTGGAGAGAAGCTCCATCCACCAGGACGTGGGCAGAGATGGCCAAGGTCCTGCCCTATCAGGGCTCATCCTTGCTCCTCTATAATCAAAGCCTCCAACCACAACTACCTGAGAGCGTCCCCAGGGCCAAAGTGCTTCTGTGAGGAGGGCTCGAGGCCCCAGCTTGGCTCTGTCATAGAGGGGAGCACTGTTTCTGCACATCTGGTGCTGCAGACGCGTGTGGCTCTCCCAGAACACAGGGAAAGTGCCGCTCCCTGCCAGCCGTCACCCCATGTCGGGGTGGCAGGGCACAGGGGGTCTCGGCCTGCACCAGCCCCCAAACAACAGTTGGCCCAGCTAGCACAGTTGGCTCCTCCCCAGCCTTTTGGAGGGTTAGATTCTGGAAGATGTGGGATTTTTCATAAAGCAGGAGAAACCCCTAATTCATGGGTGGCCAAGATAAAACCCTGAAAGACTATAAGGCAAAGTTAACTGGGAGCAATTTTCTAAATCTTGGTGAAAGAGAATTATGTCACATGAAGGGAGCAATGGCAATAAAACAAGAAGCCACGAAAGAAAGCAAGGCACAAGAAAACCAAACTTACACAGAAGGGGTTGTTCTATTTGGTCCACAGATAGACTGCATCCTGTTAAGATGTTCCCTTTGTCAAGGTCCGCCACTACTGGAAGGATCTTTCCATCTCTAAGATGTGTCACTAGCTCATCAGACGTGTTTTGGTAACTGCGGGAGCTGATTGAAGCTGCCTTCTCAGTTCCCTCTGCACTCAAAAGAGACCAATTTCCAATTCCTCCTCAGACTCCAGGAAACCAGATGCTGTAACAAATATTCCAGCGAAATGAATGCAGACAACGATCCCAGGGCGCTCCTCAGGGGAGCACAGGACTCAGCGGCTCTTTCTGTGGCTTGGATGAATACTGCTTTCAGGTCTGTCACTGCCATCTCCTCCCTGCCAGTGTTTCTGATGGGACATGCTTTTGTCACAGCACAGGGGATCTTGCGGAACAGAAGAAAGTTCTCAGGAGGTTGGGGAGCAAATGACAGAGGCAGCGTGCTGGGGCCCTATTGCATCTGGCAGCCTGAATTGGGCAGCAGTTCCTGCAAATGAGAAGCCACTGCCTTCGTTAGGTAGGTCATGGTCCCGTAAGCCCCACTGGGAGCACTGTCGTAAAAGAAGTGGCAAATTCCCGTGGCTTGGTCTTTCTCCAGTGTGTCCATGGCTCCGATCGACATCTGCAGCAGGAAGAGGCAGAGGTGATGGGTGAACAGAGGCCACGCTCCCCGCCCTGCGCTGACCCTGTGTGCCGCATGCCAGGGGAGCAGCGCTCCAGGTCTAATGGCAGGAGGCCCATGGCCCGGGGAGGACAGCTGACCTCTGCTCTGGGCTCCGCGTCCCACCTGCCCTACTTGGCAGCGCATCAACAAGAGGACGGTTTTTCCTAGCTCAACTTTGGTGCAGGACAAATGATTCATTTATATCGGGCCAGACACGTAGCAAGGCTGGTGTTGGCACTAAAACCTACGCTCAAACGGGCCTGTCTCCCGAGGTCTTTAGATTTCCCAGTGGCTGCTGTGCCGTTTTCTAACCAAATGGTTGACTTTTTTTTCGCCATCTGTGATGACTTTCTTCATTCGAGAATATTCTTTCCTATTGGACAAAGACTCCCTAGCTTTGACAGAGATAAATGCCAGCCAACCTGGCTACCTTGCCTCTGTGCCCATCTCAGTGGTGGGGGGACAGGGCAGGCTTGGACACACCCACCTGGTCCTGCAGGAACAGCTGGTTGGCCACCTGCACGATCTGGTCCACGTGGATGATGCCCCCGATGCTGTTCATCTCCGTGTCTGAGAGCAGTGTCAGCACCATGATGGCCTCCACCAGCAGCTGCCGGTACTCGGGCTGCGGCACTCGGTTCAGCACTGATTCAACGTGGACAGCAAACTTGATCTCCTGGGGGGTCATCTGCCAAAGGGACCAGCAGGAGAGGAGATCAAGAGTGAGCTGAGGACAGACACGGCCCTGTCACCCACGCTGCCCACAGCACCCATTGACTCAGCATAAATGCTGCCTCCTTTCTGGCCACTTTCTTGATTCCGCCTGTAGGAACCCTCTGGGGCAGGAGGCCAAAAGCTGTGCCACGGAGTCAGCCTGGTGCTGACATGATTCCCTACCCGACTGGACTGGGACTTTCAGGGGCAGGACCATTTTTTTTTTGATCTACCTTTCTTCATTATTCCTTGTGGCGTATAGCATGGTGCCTTGGGTAGAGTAAAAACTCAAAATTCAATATTTAAAAGAATGAATGGGGGAGAGAAACCAGGGACGATGACTGCTCTCAGTGGAGCGGGGGTCAGAGGAGGCTGCAGTGGGTCCCATGAATGTGGCGTGCAGCTGGGTCTTTTCTCTTAATATGGTTTTCGGGGGCAAATCGAAAGATCTGGACAGTCCAGATCTTTTCTGAGGGGAAGGAGAAAGAAAATGCTGTTTCTGAGGGGAGGAAAAACGTGTGAAAGAAACTTTGCAAAACTTGAGGGTTAAGCATATAGAAAGATCAGACCTACAATGGGCCTATGTGTAACAAGCTTGAAGGAAGTGTGTGTGGTCAGAGTCCAGCAAGGAGAGCACTGGCAGAAACCCACGCTAGGCCGGCAATCAGGTTTTCCCCTCATACCTCTCGTGTCGTCGAGGATGGGAGCACATAACCGTCGATGGACAGACCGTGGCACTGGAGGCAGAACGCACAGGTCAGGCACTAGAACGTGATTAAAAGTGCGCACAAACCCATGCACACACGCACACTCAAGTCGCTCGGCCCTGGAAGCTGGCGTGAGGACTGGTACACACCAGACTGTTAGTTATTTTTAGAGAGCTTGTTCTCACTGCCCACAGGCTGTGTTTTCGATGGAACAATTCTAGGGAAGCAGCAGGCATCTTTCAGATCTCACACGAACAACGCCCCAGGGAGGCTGGGTCCTCCTCTGTGGAAGCTCTGAGTTTCACTTGGCAACCTGGCCCTGGCGGCTGAGAGGCCCCCTCTGGTGCCAGATAAAGGGAGATGTGCCTGGCTCCTGCTGGCGAAGTGATACTTCTATGCCTTTGCAGGCATCTATTTTTGTGGTTTCTATAATAAGCACCGATCACAAAAGACTCGAGCACATGCACAGACACGCACACGCACACCCGCGTATATAAATATCAAGCGCTGGCTCAATACAAAATGCTGCTTTTTCATAATAAGAGTGTCTTGGTATCGAGCCAGTGGCAGCCCGGATGGAAGCACGTGAGGCCCCAGGAAGAGTAGGGAGATTTTCTAGGAACAGTTTCTTCTGCTCTCACTGGCTGCCTTCTAACTCCTCGGGCCTTGTGACAGCAGTCCACCTGCCTCTGTCCCCGGTGGGCTGAGGACGGAGCGCTGTGAACGCTCGTGCCTCCTGACCAGAGACCCCCTGCGGGCTCTGCTCCAGCGTGGGGACCAGAGTTGAGCTGCGAGGACAGGGACCGCTCTGACCTCCCTAGGCCCAGTTCCGTGAGGACGACCTCGGTCCCCACAGAGCAGACGTAATGCAGCCGCCTGGGGCTGTGGCTTTGGGAAGGGGGCTGGAGTCTGGGCTCTCTGAGATGGCTGTTCTCGTCTCTCCTACCGTGAAATGAGCTAACAAAAAGGGTTAAGGAAAAAATTGGCCTTGCCCACGGTTATTGGTTTGCACAGAAGCTTTTAAGGGAGGTAGACTGGTCCCTCTGTGCAAAAGGAAAGACAGGCTGGGGTGGGACCTGGGGAGACATGCATGCTCTGTGGCTGATGGGGGAGAAAGTGGGTGCAGAGCGCAGAGGGCACGGCTCCTGCGGGCTGTTCTGGGTTGTGCATGTTATGGTGTTTATCTGGAGCCTTCCCTGGTTCTTGCCTATGTTCTGACTTTTCTACGTTCCTGAAATATGTCAAAGGTGGTGCCACACAACCTTATCTAACTTGTAGTGGTTTTAGCCAGCATTTCTCAGGCAGAGGCGATTTGCCGCCCAGGGAACATGTGGCAATGTCTGGGGACATTTTGGTTAACACATGGAGGGAGGGGCACTACCAGCATCTGGTGGGTGGAGGCCGGGGATGTCGCTTAACATCCCACAATGCACAGGACCGCCCCCAAGAAAGGATTACCCAGCCCCAGATGTCAGCGGGGCCGAGGGGGCTCTAGGCCATGAGCTACCTAAGGTCGGGGGCTGAGCATTGACCTGTCCTGTAGCCACCTGCTATCTGTAGGTGCCACCACGCCACACAAGGAGTACAGGGACAGTGCATTTCCTGAGGGGCACCTGTGTAATGCGGCACAGCGGTTAAGCTCACCTTCTGAAGGATCTTCCACACCTTCTGGTAGAATCCCACAGGGACCCTGTTGATGGCACCATCCAACCTTCTCCTGCGCAGCCACTGGCCCTGCCGCTCCCCCCAGCCAATGTGGTGCCCGCCTGAGTCTGACGATGATGTGCCGGTGGGCGAGGATGGGGTGCTGGACCTCTGCAAGACAGGCAGGGCGTGGCCTTCAGAAACCTAACCGGCACCCCAGGGAAGGGCTGGTTACCAAGAGGGCAGCTCTGGGAACTAGTCAAAAACATCAGACCACCTCTTGCCCAGAGGAATGTGGTTCCTTGTTTCACCCTTGGCCAGTTCTTGAAGCTGGATTAGCTCTGTCATGCACCGGTTTGGCTACTAAACACCTTCCGTGCTCTCTTCCCAGCCCACAAGAGGTAGCACAGCATTAAAGCCCCTGACCTGATGGAGAGGCTGAGCAGGTCAGAGTACGGGCTCTAGGGGGCTGTGAACCCCAACTCAACGCCAGCTGCTTCAGGTTCTAACTCAGCCTCCTCTGAGCAGTGGGACCCAGGCGGGTGCCTGCATGTGTCTGAGACACGGAATGCCAGGAGCACGCCTGGCAGGTGTGGTCAGCTGGCACTGCTGCCTGAGGGCTCGCGGGGAGACCCCGGGCCTGCGGAGCCGGCACCTCCCTCAGGCCCTGCAGCCCAGGGAGACAGATGCCAAAGTGACTTGACTCCTGTGGTGCCATGGAGAGTGGTGGTCCCTTCCCCACGGAGCAGCGGCCACAGAGAATGCAACACATAATACAGGGGGAAGGCTCTGGAGCCCAAGAGTAGAGGCTGGAATCCACACGTGTAACAGGGCCCTCAGAGGTGATCGTATTTCCACCTTCCTTTTCAATCGCTGTCTACTTGGCCTGTTCTCAGCACAGCACCTTACCCTAATTTGGGGCAATGGCTGCCTCCGCTGAAGCCTTTGCTGAAGCAGAGGGAGAGGGCGTCCCCTCCTCTCCACCTCCTCCCCGAGGCTGCAGTTATTCTGGCCTCTGCGAGGGAAGCACTGGGGCCAGGCCAGCAGTTTGGCTTCTGCCTCGGGAACCACAGGCCTGCCCACAACCGGGGAGGCAGCTCTGAGGGGCTCCCAGTGGGGGCCTGAGACCAGGTGGGAAAGTGGGGCTCCCTTGGCGGGTGGGGAGGGGGGGCGAGGCCGCACCCAACCCTCCCTGTGGCCAAGCTCACGGCTGCTTTCTTTCCCTGGATAGATTCTCAGCCTTTGGCCTTCGGGTCAGGGAAGGAATAACCTTCATCCTTACACATGATCTTTCTTCTGGGCTATCTGGCACTTTGCTTTCTCAGTGTGCTACAGCCAATTTAAAGGTTTAAAAATGAAATCCAAATGTTCGGCAGGCTAGTAGGACAAGAGGCAGGAGTCTTCCAGAAGCACGCGATTTGACTTCGTAGGATCTTATTTTGAAAAGGCTGTGAGGCTGGGTTATACCACTGGGCTCATTACTGCCATTTAAATACGGCAACAATTAGATACAAATAAAAGTAATTACAGCCGCACTCATCAATGACTCAGCTGGTTTTCTCCCAGTTTCGGGAGGAAGATTCAGACTCGCCTCTGCAATTAGAACATTTCCTAGTCCTCCATCTCCTCTGGGGCCTCAAGCCGAGCTTACGAGGTGCTCATCAGCACCTGCAGGCACTGGGCCACCCCTGTGGCTTGAGAGAGAGGTACAGAACAAATGCCTTGAAGGTTCCAAAAGCTCCTGGGAATTGGTGAGGTGCGTGTTCCTCACCCACACCCCAGCGAGGGGCACAAGCAGAAAACTCGACGGAAAATCCAAGCTTGCTTCTACAAGTTCTCAGCTTGCTTTCTAGACTCTCCTCACAATGACAGTCAAGTGAAAACACTTAAACCTGGTCACGTCTTCGGGAGTTAGGGGTGTGGGAGCAGGAGAGGGGCAACTGTGGATTCAGACCCCACAAAGGAGGAGGAGGAGGTGAGACGTGTGGTTTACCGCAGACTTGGAGGAGTGCGCACTGCCGGACGCGGCCTGGCTCACGGAAAAGAGCTACAACACAAAGAGAGTCCACTCAGTCATGTGCAGTGACACCAAAGGACGCAGGCAGAGAGAAGGTACATAGAACAGCCTCGGAAACAGCGGCAGGAGGAAGGTGCAGAGGACGCGGGCATCCAGGAGTTCTCACTCTTCCCGGAGCTCTGGGCTCCGCACAACGGAGGAGCTGGGGAATGCTTTCTCTGCTGGTGAAGTGTTCCCACGACTACTCGGATGTGGAGGGTGCCTCATCGAGCTAGGATGCAGCTTATATTCCAAAGTCACAGCCATGAAATACTCATCTCTTATGTTAAGAGTGGTGAAAATCTAGAGATCAACCAGATACCCATAACCAGCATTTAGCATCTTGTACCTGCTGGCATTCAACAGATACTGGTTAAATGAACGAGTAAGAGCAGGCTGATGAGCTTTGGCCAAACAAGTATTTTCCTCACCTAAAAATCTAGACTGAATTTTTTACCTGCATAGGGAGTGCCTGAGCACATACACACATGCACCCACGCTGTTCTTGCAAAAGCAATTAGAAATTTAAAATGCCACAGCATCTATTAAATTTTGAACAGAGAATAACGTATTTCCTTGATGTAAAAGACCAAATACAAAGCTTGTACTGGCTAACTGGATCTAAACCCATCAAAGAAAAAGGCTGGTCATTTTGTCCCCATAATATGCAAGGATGGCATTACATGGTAACAGAAGGAACCACCCATATTCAGCCACAGTCAGCTGCCATTGAGATGTAGGTAGCCAGAGGGACGATGCCACCAAGTGGCTGGTAAAGGAAGATGTCTGGAAAGTCTGTTCCTTACTTGGAAAGAGCATCAATTAGAATGAGAGAGCATGGATGTTTTTCCCAGGGACAATATAGAGAATCCACACGTCAGTATACGATTCCTCTGCGCTCTTTGGTGTCACAGAGACATTAAATCACTAGGAATGTGACTCCAATTTTCTGAAGGGAGGAGAAGGAAGTATGTCCCAAGAGTGATATAAAAGTACAGTATCCTAACATTTTTTTCCTTATAGGGTTAAATCCCCCCAGGCAATCTGGGGTCAGGAAATATTAGTATTCCACTGATATAATCGATGACCACATTTTACTTGGCCCTACTTATTTCCCTCCTTTTTGAACAGAAACTCCTGCCAAGGCAGAGCCTGGGACCATCTCTTTCACATAGTCTCCTACCAAACCCAAGAGTTTGACAAATGGAAAAAGGTACGGGGCAAGGTCATTTCTCCTCTTTCAAGTCCAGCACTCTGCTCGTCCCCAGGGCTGCCTGTACAGCCTGCCGACCCTTCCACCCAAGCCTGTTAGATGGGCAGAACCATCCTCCACACGCTCAGTCTCTGTTCTCACAGCCTCACTTTCCACAGTCAAGCCAGAAAGAACATGAAGCACAATAAAGGATGAAACAAGACAAAGATGTTTCACCTGGTCGTCAACACTAAATCGCCTAGTCATCTGAAAGTAAAAATATATTAGGAAATAAAAATCAGTTTTGAACTAAGGATGCCTTACTACTTCTATCACCCTCTAGATCATCCAAGGAAGTGTTGGTCCAGCTGCAGGGTGTGACCCATGAGTGCCTCACGGACTCAATTGAGTGAGTCATCATTTGAAATGGAGGAGAAAATCCGAGTGCATTTCTCACTGCAGGTCATGGTCAGAAGGAAACTATTTCCTTCTCAATCACGGTTTAGCCTACCACAGTCCCTGGGACATTAGGACTGAAAGGTCATTGACTTGCAGTCCTGCGGGGTCAGTTCGGAAAGAATTTGTTGTGAATTAAATAAAGGTGAGAAAAAAAAAAACACCCCAAAATACCAGTGGATAGTGGGAAGTACAGGTGTCACGAGCATTCTATTTCTAGACTCCTCTCACTGTTTCACTTGAAGGACACATTTGATGGAGGGATGATTCAGTTATCTTTTGTACAACTTTACTTTTCAAATGCCTGTGGCCCACTTGAAAGAGCAGTTCTCGGCAACAGGCAAACATTGGGGAAGGGTATTTTCCAGAACGCTCACGTAACCCGTTAATGTTAAGGATGAGTGTGAGTGGCTGTGGGATATCTGGGTACAGGGTGTGTGCAGATTCCGGGGCAGAAGGGATTGCACATCCTTTATGAAGCTTGCTGCACCCTGCATGCCCTGGGTTTCTATCATTTTCCAAGTTGAGCCTGGGCAGGAAGACCAGTTCCTTCCCGGCACTGCTGCCACTGAGCTCTTCTTACCTGTTTCATCTCACTCCTCAGCCTGCTGATGCCACTCCTCTCGGTTTTGGTGACTCCAGTATGTCCCACCTCATGGATGGAGATGGCTGGGCTGGATGTGGAGGAATGGATGGGTCGCACTGGAAGGGAAACATATACACATGGTTCTTAGAAACTGTATCGCGTCTGCCGTGAGAGAGGAATATACACGCATGTGCTTATTTATTGTATCTGCCTATCTCCCCGACTTGACTCCCCGCTCCATTAGAGGAGGCCTCGTCGGCCCTGGCCAGCGATGTTTCCAGCACCTGGAGCAGTGCCTGCTACACAGCACAGGCTCAATATGCATTTGAGCAAATGGATGATAGAGTGAACATCACTGAAGCAGCAGGCAGAAAACACTGGATGGCCAGAGAACCCTTCAGTGATTTGACTGAATCATTTTTACCTCTCCAAATGCACCCCCTTCCTTGTAGAACTGAGACCACCCAATTAAGGTCCAGTCTTGGGGCCAGAGAGGCAAGTCCTGGGAGAACAAGCCGACCAAGGGCTGGAGGAGCAGAAGACCCGGCTACCCCATCACGGAAGGGACCCCGCTCCACCCTGCGGCAGCGCCCCCACTAACCACTCCTGCGCCGTACTCACAGCGATCATCCTAAAGGATGTGACCGTGTTACTGCCCCCTCGGAACCCCTCCAGGCCTAGCCTGTCTTCAGCAAAAGCCCATACAAAGCCCCTCGGGCTGCTCCCTCCTCCCACCGCCTGCTCTCCTCTGCGGGCTGCTTCCTTTCCTCCTGCAGGCCCAGCTCTAGGGTCACTTCCTTGGGCTGCGTCCTCTGTGTGCCCTGCCTTCCCACCCTCCCCACCTCCACACCATGGGAGTAGGGGGCAAGGAGCACTGCCCAAGGGTGTAGAGACAAATAAGGAGACAAAGGACAGCAGAGAGGGAGGACCCACAAAGGAAATATAATGATTACCCAGAAGGAAGGAGGGACACTGGTAAAGTGGAAAACAGAAGCCAAAGGGGTCTGGGAAGCTAGAGTGGGGCCTCTATGGGGTGGGCATTAGCTGGAAATATTTATCTCAGACATCTCAGGATTTAATCAAATTCTAAGACTATTTGAGTTTCCTAATGTATAAACATTGAACAGTTACAAAGGACAATTAACAATGATGTTACATGCAAAAAGACAGGACCTGTTCTGGCCTTGCCTGCAGTTAGACATATTTATGGTTTCAAGTGACAGTACTCTGTTCCTAGTTTTCTAAGTTTCTACATCTAATGACAGTTGTTTAGTAATTATCTAGGTCAAACCACGTATATTATTTTGATGAGCACAACACATTAAATATTTATCTTGTATATGTACATTTCAAGGACTGTGCATTTGAAAGAACTGAAAATTACTTTTGGAAAAGGATCTTGAGCATTCCTCCTTCAGGAAAGGAGAAAAGCCACCAGAACACATCTGACTGCAACGCCGGCTTTCTCTACAGGCTGGTGCCCACTCTGGAGAAAAAATACTAAGTACCCAATGTCCTTCTTATTAAATAAAAGGAATGGCAGCCCACACTGCATTTCTTTGGCTTGATGAAATAAATTCACAAATGTATCTGCAAATCATTTTACTTTATAATGAGCAGAAATGATAATTGCTTCAATTATAATTAGGGAGCATTTGAGAACAGAATTCCACCAGGACTTGGGCAATTATATTTCCTAGCATCGCAAACAGGGTTCTGGTACAGATAAAAACTGAGTGAGCAAGACAGGGACAAAGCAAACTCCCTCAGCAAGAAAGTGCTATGAGGTCGTAGAGGGCTCTTCTCTGGGCCCATAAAGGGTGACGGGGTCTGGTTGAGAATGCTTGTACTCGAACCAAAGGCGGGGCACTCAGGTGATGGGAAAAGACAGCCCTCTCATGCTGACACCCTAGTCACCTCACCCCCTCCTAACGCCATGCCCAGGTGCACCTGCGGCTCTCCCAGCCAGCCCACGAGGGCTCACAAAGCCCCACAAGTCACAGCCTTAAACCTAGAACTCTGTCTCAGTGAGGTAGGAACCTTACACTCAGACATTATGTCCTGAATCTCGATTACTGGTGTCGACCTGCATATAAATGAAGCAGTTCCGGGCCACCTGGACACATCAGTCAAGCCCTCTCTGAACCCCTCCCCACAGAGGTAAGAGGAGCATTTACTTACTGCTTCTTTCAACACCAAACTCTTTTCCACTTAAAATATGGTGCAGGAGATTTTTCATATCAAAAGGGCTGAGGTTCATCAAACTTTCAGAAGCTTCTTCTCCTAAAAACAAACATCTTGTTAAGTGTCCCAGATACAGGGCTGAGAGGTACTAAGCCTTGGTGAGTCTGAATGCTGCTATTTAAATTGTGTATTTTCTTAACTCTCAGATGCATCATTTTTCATATTGTAATGACCCCCAATGTTGGAATGCATCTTGCAGTGGATTTACATATTTAGACTGGTAGGATGTCTCCCAGCAGAGGTGTTAGGAAATGGGGGATGACAGCTCACCACAATAAGGGACTTGGAAGTCAGGAGAAGAGCAGAAGATTCTAGTGCCTCATTCTCCCTAACACATGAAATTCAACACCCTGTGGTGGATGGTTTGGCTGAAGTTACATCTAACCTGGTCAAGCATGAGCACACCCAGAGGCTCAGAAGCCCGGGTTCCAGAATACTTGGGCAGGGTTCCCTGGGGCTGGGTGGGTGCAGGAGCCATGGAACTGCCCGTGAGCAGCCCTTGCGGGTCGCACCTGAACAGTTCAGGCTCCGTGCCAGCTCCGTGGCCATCACCTGAATGATCAGTCCAATCCGGAGCCTGAGCATCTCTACGAAGAGGCTGGGCTGCGCCCTGACGTACATGGCCAGGTACACCACAATCTCCTGACACAGGTGGAGACACGGTTTCAGAGACTGGGTAGTGGCAGGGAGGCCCCTGCTGCCCAGAAGCCTCGGCCCTGCCCCGCCCCGCCCCGGCCAGCTGACCTGGGTGAGGACGGCGATGCTGATGTCTTGCCCGCTGGCTTCATAGATGAGTTTCGTGAGCTCCTCAGGGGGAAGAGGCCTAGAAAGGAGCATCGGGACACAAACACCATGAGGATGCCCAAGAGTGTGCCTCCTAGCCCTCTGTGGAAGAGCTTCATTTTCCCACTGGAAGCTCTCGAGTGCCAGTGTCTTCTATTAAGACTCTTTTCCTGAATGGTGGATGGCACTGATGTTTTCCGCACGGTCCCCACAAACCTGAGGCCCCCAGGCTGAATACTTACGCAGAGATGGTCTTCTCCCGGGGTTCTGGTGGCAGGCCCACCGTGAGCTGCTTCTGGTGTGACAGCAGGTCTGTGCAGGCCTACTTATTTAGGAGGAGGGCAAGGGGCAGAAAGAGAGAGGTGAGCAAAGCCGACGGGGAAGGGTCACTGCCGATAAGATTATAAATTTACCTTTACAAATTTTATGACCCATGTTGCCATTTACTTGAAAAATTCTTACAAAGACACCCAGACTGAGCAACGTAGGCCGTGTTGGGTCCCTGTGATCTTTGTGGCCCCAGGCCTGGCTCTGCAGGGCCTTTTAGTGGGTATTTAATGCCCATCCACCACAGCAAACACACTGGATTCCCGGATAGTCCATAAGAGGGGTGGGCTGTCGCGAGTCCTAAGATGTTAAGAGTAAATGACCATATTATAGTCATAAACTGCCAGTTTCCCCGTTATTGACATATACTAAATACCACCACCTTACCATAACACTGAACTTGAATGTCTTAGAAAGCAGCTCTGGATTTTGCAGGGCCTCAGGGTGAAAATGTTAACGATGACTGTACTGCAGAGGTGCAGAATTAAGAGAGCTCTGTTTAAGATGGTGCCAGGCCAGAGAGCATTTTCATTTTATTTCTTGGTAAACCCTTTTCTGCAGCTAACAAGTAACAAAACTAATCAACTTGAATTTCATTTCCTCTGCTTGCCTTCCAAGAGCAGTGGGAGGTCAGGAGAGGAGGGCCTGCTCCATCTATATATTAAATAACCCATTTCCTTTACAAATAAGAGGTGCTTGCCTCCAGCTTCCGTAACAGGAAGAGGACATGGGGTTACAAAGGACAAATGGACACCCCGCGCAGCCTCTGACCTCAGCCAGGACCTCCACTTTCTTCCGGAGTAGGCCAGAGATGTAGCGGATCAGACCCCACTCCTGGTTCAAGCCGGCTTTCCCATACAGCTCACTAAGGAGGTTGTGAACTGTGACCCCGTGCTGTCCAGAGAGATGTGTGTCCCAGTTAGGACCCCTGTCAAGAGATGGAAAACCCCAGAAGTATGGCCCAGAACGTTGAAAGGCCAGATTCTCTCATAATCAAGCGCACTTGGCAGGGAGGGGAATGAATCACTGCACATTCTGCCAAGCCCTCAGAGGCCCTCCCAGTGCTTCTGAGTCTGACCAAGAGGGCTGCATCTTACCAAAGCACCCCTTCTGTCTACTTGAAACAGAAGTCTAACACTGGGCAACGGTGAGATCCTGGCCTCACCCAGTATTCTCGTCCTCAAGGCCAGCATTAGTAGGCAGGGGAGGGTACGGAAGTATGTTCATGATGATTCTGGGTAATTTGGGTGAATATGATCATGATGCAGCCTCCTGGAAGGCCAAGAAGACTAGGACAAAGAGCCAAGGAGAAAAAGGGAAAGCTCAACCTAGTGAAGACCATGAACTTACTTCATTACATACAGAATGTACAGAATGTCTGCTTGGTCCTGTAGGTTCGAGCAATCCTTCAGCTGCTCAACAAGCTTCTCACAGTCCACATCACCACGGTCATCTCTGGGAAAGTGGAAGTCATCTTCGGGAGCCTGGCCATACAAAAGCCAAAAAGCAGGAGAGAGGGGCTGAGCATGCAAACTTTTAGAAGATTAGGAAGTGACACACCAACCTGGTCTTGGAACTCTGCTGCTGTGCCACACTCCAGCTTTTCAGGGAGTCTTCTGTGGCTTTTTGTTTATATTTTTGATCAATGAATCACTGTTTTAGTCAATGTTTGCAAGAGACTGAACTGAACAGGTTAAAATAGGTATAAATTTTATTCATGTAAAGTTCAAAAACAGGCAAAACTCTTGCTAGCAGTTACCTTTGGAGTGGAGCGGGAGGAGGTGAGTGGCAGGGGCACAGGGGCGGCTGTCACTTACACGGGTCTGTTGGCTCGGTGATAATGCACTGAGCCCTATGCTCATACTTCATACACTTCTCTATATATGTTAAACTTCAATAAAATATCTTTTTGAAGGCAAAACAAATACAAAAAATATGTGAGTTTTAAATAACCTAAAATTGAGGTTAAGTTAAAATCGTCTCCAGCAGACAATGAATCTTTCTATTCATGTGGAATAAAATCAGAGGAGACTCTGGAAAAAATAACAAATTAGGGGAGTCAATGGGGAACACCCTGAGATTTTATTCTCTGGAGGAATCTTTTTCTGGTTTTGTAACCTGCTCCACAAGTAGCCCGGCCTTGGCTGGCTGGCACAGATGGGCCAGGGCTGGTGGTGAGCCAGCTCCCTCCTCTAGTGGGACACGGGTTCTGACGAGTAGGTAGAAAGTCAGTAGCCTTCTCCTACATGCAAAGTATAAAGGTTTGCATCAAATTCAGTGTGCATACTGACACGAAGCAGATTCCAGACAACTAAGTTAATGGGCACACATCAAAATCCAGAACTTCTAATCCTAAAAGTCCTGGATATCAAGGAATATGCTTTTTTGAGTTCAACCATTTAAAAGTTCTTGGGACTACATCAGCATCAAAGAACATTACAGTTTTTGAAAAAGTGATTCTAAACATTTTACCTTTTTAAGGAGTGGCTGAGGGGAATCAACAAGATTCAGTGACTTACGGTGGGCACTTAGAATTTTAGTTGGCAGAGCCATGGGAACAACTAGAAGATAAAAGAGAGAGCTCTTCTGAAAAGGAGGAAGGATAAAACACTTATTTTGAGAGGTACAATACAAACCAAATAAGAAATGATGACTTAGTTTAATTAATTTCAACACTAACTTTTTACATAGCCACATCATGTGCTAAGTCTGAAAACGAAGTGAGCAGGACACAGATCTTGCTTTAAGGAGCTGAACTTTACTTTTCTCTCTTAGAATTCAGGGAAAATTAAACAGCATCTTAGAACTAGAAGGAGCCTTAGAAATGATTAAGCCCGACCTCTTTCTTTCAGGTGTGGAAACTGGGAACCAGACAGGATAGACCATTTGTCCAAGGTCACTGGCCTTCTCATAATCAAGGTGTCCCCACTTCCTGTCTACTATGTATTTCACTTTGCCACTGCTGGGTGTTAGTGCTTGTTTTTTAACCACCTTTAAATGTTATCATCACCAATGCTTATTCATTCAGCCATCTCCACCTGCCAGGCTACATCATATCATCTTGGGAAAATAAGTACCTTTCAAGGTAAAGATGAGGCATATTTAAAAGCCATTTATAGATCTCCAGGTTACACTAGTGAATTTAACATACATTTTAACTTTATTTCCTCTCAATCCCCCACTAACACCACAGAAAATAATTAAAGAAAAAAAAAAAGACAAATCCTAAAGAATAGGGAAAAGCAGGAGAGAAGACAAGAGCAACAACATTTTGGAAGTGGGGAAGCTGATGGATAAAAGGTAACTGGTTTAGTAGACACAAGGCAACCAAACCCCAAGTCTGCAGTGAGGAAAGCCAAGAACCAGTCAGGTTAATATCAGAATCCTCAGAGGCCTAAGGAGCTTGCTGCATCATGGACCTCTGGAACTGGGGGCAGTCTAGAGAGGGTATCCAAAATAAGATGGAGGAGAAGCTATGGGAGAGGCTGTGAGCTCCCTAGACGTCCTCTGCAACCCCACAGCTTGCCAACTGCCTTGCTCACCCCGATAGAAGCCTAGAGGGTCTCTCTAAAGAGGGTAAAAAAGGGGGGGAGCTATGTCTGGAAGAGGTACTGACCCACATGTCTGAAGGCCGAGCACATTCCTTAGGGGAAATAAATGATTGTATAGCTCCAAGCAATCAGATCTTTACCTGTTAAAAAGGAGACTGCAAAGGAGACTGTAGAGTATCTCTGGGAAATCTGCCCGGCCTCCACCCATAAACCCACTTACATGCTTGGAGAGTCTCATGTATGAGCAGATAACCAAGGACAGGAGGACAGACTCAAATGCGAAAGACAGAAACCAAAAGAAACAGGAAAAACTGACTTGGGGGAAATGGAAACCATTTAGGGAGAAGAAATGTAAAAAAAACAAACAACTACAAAAAGTCCTGCCATTAATATTCTCAGAGTAATAAGAAATTATACTGCATGCATGAAACAAGAATGGATGCAATTCGTAGAACAAAGATTTAAAACATGACAGCAAAAGTGGAAAAACTCAGTTGAACAGGTGGAACAAAAAGCTGAGGCAATTGCCCTCAGAACAGAGCAAAAGACAGAGAAATGGAAGACAGAAGAGAAACAATAAAGACTTCTCCAGGAGGTCAACACTGGAATCATAAAGTATCAGAAAGAGAGGACAGAGAGAATGTAGGGAAGGAAATGAGTCAAGAAATTTTTTAGAAAAACTTTAAAACTGAAAAACTGAAAGCAAAAATCATAAATTTCCCGATTGAAAAGGTCTGCTGAGCAGCCAACACTGTGGATGAAAATATACCCAGAGCAAGGCACATCACTGAAATTTCAGAACCTGGGAACAGAGAAAATCTTAAAAAGTTTATATTTGAACGATCAATAGTCAGAATGGGTTTAGATTTCTCAACAGCAACACTGACAGCAAAGGGACAATGAAGTGATACTTTCAAAATTCTGAAGGAAACTTTTAGTAAAATTCTATACCCAGCTAAATTCTCAAATAGAAACAGAATATAGCAGACTTGCAAAGTCTCAACAATTTTACCCACCATGCACTGTTTTCTCAGGAAACAACTGGATGTCCTCCACCAAAAAAAGGGAGTAAGCTAAGGAGGAGGAAAAGTTGAGACACAGAAAACAGGAGAGCCAACAAAGGAGACAAGGATGTCTCCAGGATGATTGTGAAAGATCCCATGACAAAATCTGCATCCCAGACATGGAGGGAAACAGGCCAAAAGGGGCAGTGAACCCCAGAAACAAGCAAGTTGAGGGCTGTCATCACCATGCTCTCTTCCACTGTACCATGTTTTTAACCTATTGAAACTATTTCAGAATGTATTCCATTAAAGGTATAAATCGAGAAAGGGGAACATGCCAGATTCAGGAAACAGGGAACCCAACTTAAGAGATAAGCAAAGGCAATTCCAAGTATTACGGTAAAGTCAAGTCCTAGGATGCCAGGTATGCAGCAGGCCTAGAGTTCAATAAGCTGGATGGAAGGGGACTTCTGGACGCTAAGTAAAGCAGCGGAGCCCAGAGATTCGTGCATATGATTGACCTTGTGAAAATTTGTATGGCAAGACCATTGGAAGCTATAGAAAGGAAACAAAGCAAATTAAAAGATAGGATGATATGACATTGTAAAATGACTATAACTCAATAAAAAATGTTTAAAAAAATAATAAAGGCAAAAAATGATAGGGCAATGATAAACTTTAGAAAAAACAAAAAGTAAAAATGATACTATAATCACAGTATACTATACTGCTCAGTCATAATATTTACATACATACAATGATGTAAATAGTGAATACTGACTTAACTAAACCTTAATACAAACTGCACAGATAGGTTAGAAGTGAAGCAGAGGAATGGTGATTTAAGAGCTAAATCCTTACCCGCATAAGAGAAAGTCAACAGATACCAAATAAAGCCGATGCATCAAAAGAAAGCAGTATAGACACAGTATTTTAGAAATACGGAGATACATAAATGCCAGAAGAACAACTAAGAGTTTTAAAGTGATTGCCCCTAAGTAGGACAGTGGGGAGGGGAGGGGAGAGATGAGGCAGGAAAGATCTGCATTTTGCTGCCTTTTAGGATTCTTTGACTTTTATATTGTGTTCATGCATTACTTTGATGAAAGAAGTTACTTTAATAGGCAGAAAAGAGTTAATAACATACATGGAATTTCCAAACCCTTTGCTTTTGCCATGACAGAAAGTATATCCCAAGTGGAGTGGATGGCGCTGAAAACATGGCTGTCCTCTGTCTTCTTACAAAGAGGTGGCAGATAGCACTTCGAGGATGTGCTTTGCAGGAGGTGGCTGATATACTGGTCAAGTTCATCCTGGCTTTCTATAATTACACAGGTAAGAAAAAGCCAATGAAAACAAGCTGCACAAATAACCCAAATGCATAACAGTGATTCTGTGTAGCATGAAGTGCTTAGTAGATTTAGTGGAAGACAACATTTTGATACAGATATCTGACCTCCCACCCACCCCCAGAGAGCAAAGAGATTTATGTAGATAATGTATGTGTTCATAAAGTTATTGTTTGGAAAAACTTCATCCAAGGAAAAGAAAATACATGTCAAGATAGTGTTTATATCACATCATCCCAAGATGACCTGAATATGTAAGACAACCAGAGGGTCAGCAGCCAACATTTTATCTTTTTGCTTTAATCTGTCATGAGTAACATACATTATGGAACCCTCAGCCCCAATCCCAATTACTAAGCAAAAGTAAACAACAGGTCACTTCAACCCAAAACCTCCCTCAGTTTGAGAAATTATATACATAAATAGGATTTCATCAGTTACATCCAATCAAAACTAAGATCATCCTACTATCCCTTTGAAAATTCAAGTGTTTCTGTCTTCATATTTCATGAAAAGTCTGCATTCCTGAAACTCTTTGTCCCTCTAGGTTTTAAAAAAGCCCCACTTTTGCAGTTTAGGTTTTTAAACTGGCATCTTATTCATTTTAATACGTGAAAGTTTTCAAAGCCTCTTTTTTTGTTAATTACCATTTTCTGTGCTTGAGTTTTAGGACAATTTTATCACAATGCCAAGGTTTAAATAAATTCAGTGAACCACCTACAAAGGCATTACAAACCGTACCTTGATTATAGGTATCTTCCAAGTATCCTCCCAAATCTGAATCACTATCAGGACTGAAGCTCCCTTCACTGGCACCATCAAACAACTTCTCATCACAGTCTGGATCCAGGAAGGTCAGATACGTATAGAAAGAGGTGGTGAGAAATTCCGAAAGACTCCCTAATTTTACTCTGCCAAGGAGACATTGTGTTAGAGATACAGGTGCATGTGGACCAACTTCCACTGTGAATCATTGAGAGACTTTTCAACAACCAGGTGGTGCTTCTGCCAGAATCAATAAATACGTCACTCTGCAGATTGCCCCATATAAGTAGTCAGCCAAGAAACTAAAATGAAAATTCAATAGCAAGTATGAAGTGGAATCACACAGCATATTAAAAGCCAAAATGAATCATGCTGATTTCTTACTCCCAAACCCAATACAAATAGAAATCTATTTCCTTGAACCAACCAAATATTACAAAACATAGAGTGAACTAGAACCAACCCTTGGGTGTTTCTGCCCTAAAATGACTGGAGCAGAACAAAACCAAAAGCAAAAATTCTCTGGGGGCTCTCGTGCTATCTTTTATGAGTCCCTACCACACAGTCACACAAGCGGGCGTTAGAAGCAGGGTATATGTTGGGAGAGGAGCACATCAAAGATCTCTAGAAGGAAGGTGATGGCAGGCCATCCCCAGATCAGAACAGTGGCCCAGAGTGGCCCTATTACATTATCAGCCTGGGTAAAGTTCCACCAAAAACTAGGAGCTGGGTCTAGCAGTATGGGGTTCTGCTGCAAAGGCTGCAGGCTTCACATTCTGCAAGTTCAGCCCCAGGTTTGGGGAGCAAGTAGGATGTCCACCCTGCAGAATGCAAGCAATCTAAAACATTAGAGCTGGAAGCTGAAAACAATGGGATGCATCAGAGGTACCAGCATCAGGTTTGACTAGTTTAAATAGCTTAGTTTAAGGAGAGTAAACAGAAGCATGCAATGCAAATGAATTCAAAGGTGCGGGAGCTTCAATGGGCAAACACAGACTACATCAAGAAACACTGCCTGAGAGAGAGAAAAGCCTTCCCTTAATAAAGTAAAAACTTTTTCCCCCTTGAGCCAGTTCTAAGGATTGTTTTGCCCTGAGGTTAGGGAACAGGAAGAGGTGAGATGGAGCCAAGGGAACATTTCTCTCTGATGAAGTTGAAAGGAGTCAGGGCAAAGGCGGAAAGGTAGTAATTTAAAAATATTTCTGATAGCGAACTACCCCAGGTGGGTCCGGAGGGTAGAACTTGGCATGGAGAGTGAATTCAGCTTTTTAAATACCCTCAGACCTAAAAAAGAGCCAAAATGAGATTCAACTTCAATTCCAAAGAACTTAATAGGAAAGGGTAGCTGATAGAGCCTGGGCACTCCTGTCCCATGCTTCTCTGAATTGTTGGCTGTACTCTATAACCAGGAGGCCCTCCGGATTCCTATAAGCCCCCACCCAGCTCAGCATGGTGGTTAGAGCCTGGTTTCTGGGTTCATGTGGAGTTTCTGCACCTACTTACTCATCCTGTGCCCCTGGCCCTCTGAGCCTACAGATCCTTGTGCATAAAATGGGAAAACAGCCCAAGCGACAAAGCATAGACTAAATGAGACAACGCACCCAAAGCCACAAATAGCACACTATAGGTGCTCAATTAACTGCAGACAGTATCCTTTTGACAATGGTTAGATTTCAATTAAATAATTTATTTTTGAAAAGTTAATTATGGGCGTATGGTATTGTCTCTCGGTTATGACACCATATGCCAGGTGGTAAAGTGGTCCAAGCTGGAGAAGAAATGTACGAAAGTGGATGCCAAGTGCAGCTATGGTGCCAGCCCTGGAATGTAGATGGCAGAACACTGGGGATGGTGTCTCACTGACACTCATGACAGGTCAGGAGAAGCTCGGAGCGAGGGCCACTTCAAGTCTACAGCAAAACTCACAGCAGGGTTGGTGAGCAGAGGTGCCAACCCAGGTGCTCAGAAATATAGTGACTCAACCCTGAAGACATCAGGCTAAGTGGGATAAGCCAGTCCCCAACAAATACTGGGTAAGTCCACCTAGATGAGACACCTAGAGAAAAAGTAGATGGTGGTTGCCAGGGGCTGGGGAAATGGAGAGTGGTTTGATGGGCACGGACTTTCAGTTTTACAAGATGAAAAGACTTCCAGAGATTGGTTGCAAACAAGTGAATATACGTAGTATCACTGAACTGTATACTTCAAAATGGTTAAGACAGTAAATTGTGTGTGTATTTTACAGTTAAAAAAAATTACTGTGGCAGCAAGGTCCCTTATGTGGAAGGATGTGAGAAGGGCTGACTTCAACTCCCAACCACTGGCATTCCATCAGGGACCAAATGGCAGCCTCCCCGAGCCTGGGAAAGGCCATACATTATTCAGGCTGGCTGCACAGTGAGGTTCTCCTGGAGCCCTTCTGGCATATTCCAGGGGATTCTGAGAGATCAGGGAATAGATCCTACAGAGAAATCCTGTGCCTTGCGACAGTCATGGGGTACAAAAATGAAAGGGGTTTCCGTGGGAGGTGAGCCCCCTATTACACAAGGAGCTTAACTGTACCACCTGGGATCGCCCGCTGCACCGTGGGGCTCCAAAGTGGAATGGGCATCCCTCCACTGGGGCCAAGGGGCCAGTGGTCTAGGGAGACCCATTCAGGTGCTCTGCCATGAAGGGATTTGTGAAGTTTGGTGAATTACTCTTAAGGTGTCAGCACACTCAAGTCAATTCAAGGAGTGAATACTGAGCACCTGCCAGATCCCAGGCTCTGGGTGTTCTCTTCCACTCCTTTTACTAGAAACAGACAGCATATCATACGTGCGTTCCAGGAGTGCTGCTTCCGAGAGACCTGGTATGTTCACCTCTCTATGCCCCAGGCCTCCTGGTGCCCATAAAAGCTTCACAAACATCCACCAAATACCAAATGGTGCTTAGAGATGATTCTAGTTTCGCATGGGTGACTGGAATAGATGCTTTAACTTCCTTTTGACTCTAAAGTTCCATGCTTCCATGTTCAGCAATTGATATGAGAAGTGGAAGAAGGGCAGCAAAAGACTTTAAGAAAGGTCAATGTTACTTTTTTTTTTAAATCACCTATTACCTAGCTCCTCCAAAATATCCATCCTCTAGTTTTCGAATTGTTGAAAGAACAGCAGAATGAATATCTGAGCCATCATTTGCTAAGGGGGAAAAAAAAGATGAATTAGTTTACTTAATCTGTGAATACTTTTAGGGGGCATGCATCAAAATGTTTTCATCAACACAATCTAATTAAAATATGTGTGGCACAGAAGATTCCCGAGCTGAGACACGTAGCTGCTAAGAACCCCCTTTAGTACTTAGCTCTGTCTACGGGACTCATTTTAAGCATTTTGAAAAGGGCCCAAACCAACAGTGGGACATGAATCAGGCAGATCATGTTCATGGAATTACTGAGCATGGTATGGGTGATGGGGAAGGTGAGCGTGGGTCTGCCCGTCATCCGCCAGCAGGTGCACAGGTAGGCCAGCTCGATCCTCAGCATCTCCACGATCATCTCGTTGTCCAGCGCCAGGTAGAAGTGATGCTGGTCGGTGAACTGCAAGTCAGAACAGGCCAGGTAAAGGGCTGGCCTTTGTTTCCCTCGGTACAATCCCAGCTGTCATCCATGGCAGCACTAATCCTTGCATTTTGTTTCCAGAGAAGAGGCTCAATCCTGGCTGTAACTCGCCCCCATCATGGGGTGCTCTTCACAATCAGATAAATCACTGTCACCTGCCAGGGGGCCGTGGCTACATTAGCGTTAGTGCGGGAGGGAAGGGTGTATGGCTAGATGTATTGTACAGCTCCCCCAATGGGGATTAAGCACCGGGCCCAACACTGCTGTCCCTGAAAGGAAATCAGTAATTCCTTAATCCCTATGCCAGCCAGGGCTGCTGGGCTCAGAGATGCACTCCAAGAGAGGCCCTGGAGAGCAGGTAAGATGTGGAGACAATGTTTACCTGAGTGATGGCCTGGTTAACGTGAACTAGAGGCGCTGTGGCCTGATGTCGAAAACCATATAGCTGTCCTGGCCTCTGGACCAGTGCACACTCAGCTCTAGTCTGAAATTTCTTATGAAGGGAAATAACAAGATTTAAGTGAGCAGCACCAGCTAGGTGAAAAGCAGCAACTTGAGGCTATTGACCTATGACCTCACAACCAACTAGGTGCCCAGGTAGTGGGGAGCCAGGGGTGCTGTGCTCCACATTGACAAAGTGATCCCACAGTTGGCCTTTCCAGCTGCCCAAATGGATGAAAAAATGCTTGGTTTGGGTTCCATGGGACTAGTTTCCTTTGGAAACAAAAACTCTGAAGAAAAGTTCCATCATCAGTATATTCAGGATCCCGTCAAGGGGGTCAGGGCCTGAAAAGTCAGACTGCCTATGCGTTAGGGGCTATTGCAGTTAGCGGCACAAGGGCTGCAAGTCAAGTGACATGTCACTAGCAAATCTGTGAAGCGGTGTGAGTTTCATGACTGGAAGTGATGGCACGTTCAGCTCAACTGAAGTCACATTTACTGAGCACCTACTACGAGGAAAGAACTGTACTATGTACCAGGAGTCATCTTATGTCTCTATTTGAACACATTCTGCCACATTCAAAGTAGCTCACCAGACAGAAAAGAGAGCTTAATAAACAGATGCTTTGTTGGCTTGCTACTGGCCTGCTGGTCTCACCTGGGGTGTGAAAGTAAAGATTTGGTTCCGAATCACATATAGTTTAGATGTTCCAAGGACACCAATGTGCCGATATGGTCGCCCACTCAATTTCATATTCTTATTTCGTCCTATTTAAATAAAAATTAAAAAAAGAGAGATACAAATACAGTTTCATCTAATCCAAGTGACTGTGGCTAAGGACGGGCTTATTTATATGTTAAACAATGCAGTTTGGGGTTTGGATTTTCTACTATTGTTGTCTTTCTTTGAGACAAGAATGAATTAAAAACAAATCCCACCCCCTTCTTTTCATGCACGTGTAAGAACAGCACCTGGTGCAACATCTATATGGAATGAAACTATTAAAAGGGCTTTATTGATGTTTACTTTTTATTTCCTTAATATTGAACCATAATCCTGAACAAAGTCAGAAAAAGAGAACTCCCTTTACATTTTAATGGGTAGATAAGCATTTTTTTAGTCTATGGATAAAATTTAGAAACATTATCAAGACACAAATGACAGCTTCAATTGTGAATTTTCAAAGGTGGCTCCTTATTTTACAACAGATCTGACGAATTGCACGGCCAGCCTGCGGGGCATCCCCTCAACGGGCATTAGAAGAATGTGCATGCTGGCCTTTCCTCTTCCCATGGAAGCAGGCAAACCACTGGCTTTAGTGTTTTGCCCAATTCTTCAGAATTTACACTATCAGTCTCCCCCAGACCCCAAACCCAGAACCCAGATGCCCCCTCACCCAAAATGCTCTGCTACTTGCCCAAACCTACCAAGCTTGGCATATATGTGACTGAGAATCCGGCCTGGCTGGACTCGGATTGGATGAATGTCAGCAATACTCTGGACATTCACCCCATGTTTCCTTAGCAGCTCCTTAATGTGGTGGTTTTCTGCCAGAATAGTCACTGTGAAAGAGAACACAGCGTCTGTATTAGACGGTAGCCTTCGGCCCCTCTCGTGGACATGCACCTTGTCTGTTCTTGTCTCCGGCCTGTGACAGACATGTGAGCCCATTTTCCACACCCCGGGTGGCTTTGAAAGGGACAGCACTTGTCCTCCCTGCTTCTTTCTGGCCTCCCCTCCCCTCAACACCCACGATGCTTATTTATCACGTGCCCTCAGTGTGCAAGACCGTCTGATGAGAGATGTCTAGAAATGGTCCCCCACAGGTCCCAAGCGGAATTACCCCATCTTAAATGGTGTCTTGCCTCCCTCTGGGTCTACATTTATTCTAAACCTGTCTTGTGTTCATTCACACGGGGTCAGGAGTGGAAACATCTCCACAAGGGGGATAACCAAGAGAAGTATGTGCCTCTGCCCTCAAAGGCAGAGGAGAAGAGCAATATGGTGGCATGTGCTAGCAGGGGATGCTCTGACCGAAGGGGAGGTGGGGGCAGGTTCCACCCTCTAGAGAGAAGGGAAAGTGGGTCTGCTAGTGGGTTGGTGGTAGTGGGGCAGCCTGGCTCACTGAAAGCATAGCACAGGGCCCAGCTGGTGGGGAAGAGCCACCCCAGAGCCAGGCCACACCCCCCCAAGGGGCTTATCCAGGCCCCAACTCCAGTGAGTGAGGCTAGGCGTCTGGCTCTCCAGCAGAGAGGGAGCTCCAAGTGCCTGGGATGTGGGGGCCAGGGCAGGGGGGCTCAGACCCTGCACCTCCTGTACCAGTACTGCTGGCTTTTCAGAGAAGGGACAGTGCTTTGGCAAAGGAAAGGAGTCCTGGGAGAAAGGGAGTTTTGACCACAGAGCACGGCCGCAGCAGAGCCTGCTAGTAACTGGAGGGACACGGGGCAGTGCTCAGGCTGGAGGAAAATGACTTGGTTTTGTTAAGGTCGCCCCCTGAGTCCCACCACTGTACCCTCAGGCTGGCAGCACCTGAACTACAATACATATAAGTGCTGCTAAGTTTGGAATGTTGCCTCTTTATATTTACATTGCACATGATGCTTTTTCAAAGTATTTTAATACCCATGAACTCTTCTGAGCTTCACAGCAAGGCTCTGAGGGGGACCCTTGCTGCTCAACTGGACAGCTGTAGCTGAGCAGGGACTGGAAGCTAATCCCCCAGGCCCCAGCAAACGGGAACATCAGCCATGCAGGACTGGGCGAGTGGCTTGCCTTAATATCCACCTCTTTGGACGCTTCCAATGCCGTGTGGAGGTCCACATGTATCAGACCCACACAGTGGTCACTCTGTAGATGCGACTCTTTGAGAGCAGTGGTTTGACCGAGACCTGCAAGCCTGGTGATCTAACAGCTGCACGCAGAGAAGTTTCTGAAACTACATTTCCCCTTTCTCCAGGCCAGAGCCTCTGGTATTTTCTACTGTGTTCTATTCTATTACGTTTGGAAAAGAAAAAAAAAAAGAACAGTGCTCAGGACCTATCGACACATCCCAGCCTGCAGTTGGAAGAGTGGCTTTGTGGCTTTAAGGGATCACTTAGCAGCATGTGCCCTGGTGATGGGGTACAGACTGTGAGGTCAGGCTGGATCAGGCCACCTGGGTATCAACTGGGTGCCCACCTCCTGCTGTCAGCTGTGGGTCCTTGAGTAAGTTAACCCCTCAGCCTCATGTGTAAGATGGGGATGATAATCCTAACTGTCACAATCTCTATCTGGTCAGAATGTTGTGATGGTTGGGTCTGTCTCAGCAGGTACACAGTATCGGCCAGGTGATGACCTGCACGGCCTCTGCTGCATCACAGGCAGGCACAGTGAAATGAGTCTGAGGCCACAGAGAGGGATGCCTGTCCTTCGTTCAATAGTTGTTTTTAATGTTATCAAGTGCATGGGTGTCAATCAACATAGAAGCTACAAAATACGGGCCTTGTCCTTAAGAAATGTACAGCATACTTTAGGGAACCCAAGGTAGAGACACCAAGCGCTATGATACTACCTGGTATATAAGCCGCTTTATGAGGCACGTGAGCTATTGGGGAGTCCTCCCTAGGAGGGAAAGTAGGGGGGGGAACTGGCCAGCTGGTCGCATACTATGCCTGGCCCTGCACTGAGGGCTTTTCCTGTGGATCTCAGTTCCTCTCAAGAGCACCCTGTGAGCCCAAGGCAGGGAGGTGACGTTACATGGCGAGGTAGAGACAGCACCACAGCAGTAGCCCGGGCTGGCCTTCCACCCCTCTGGAAGGGTTGCTGGCTGGAGAGCAGGGGACAGGTGGAGGCAGGTGAAAACATGGGCCTACCGCTCTGGAAAGAAGTCAGACCTCCAAGGGAGGAACGAGCAAACCCTCGCTTGGGTTCTGAGTTTTCACCAGGGTCATGTTCTACTTTTTAAAGAATAGCAGTTATGAAAAGTGATGCTCAATGAATCACTTGTGCCCTAGTTGCAATCAAGGTTCAGATTCAAGAAAACAATTTCTTTGCAGGAAGTAACTTTGTGGTTGAGAGTTGCTGAGTTATAGAATGTATTTCACAGAACTGATATATGCTAAAATATATATATATGCAATTTTTTAAAAATTCAACAAGAAACTAGGGAACAATTTGCTTTAAAAATAACACGGGCTTTATAAAGTGAAATATGACTAGTAAACATGCTCACAAACCTTGTACTACGACATCAGGCTTGACGGAAGTGGAAAATCTTCTATTTAAGGGATCAATTTCACCAGTGGCAAGGAATCCCTAGGAAAAGAGGAGCATTAACGCTATGAAATACTGATTAACTAAAATTTCATCTTAAACCTGAGCTTGAAAACAAAATATTTTGGGGCTCAAGATAGTATTTTATTCCTTCATATTTTTCAAGTCAATTGCTTATTTTCTCTGAACCGCAATATACCACTTAGGGAGCACTGATAAACGTATTGCATTTACAGCAACTAGTTCTCCAGGGCTAGGCAAATATGCCACCCTTGTGTGAGCAAAAAGAACAAAGGTAACCGATGCTTCCTGAGCCCTTATCCCGTGCCAGGTACCATGCTGGGCCCCGTACCTGCACTCCTAACAGGTAGGCACTGCTATTGGCTCCATCTTACAGGTGGGGAAACCGAGGCTTAGGGTAAGTTGTAGAGTGGGACTTGGCCCAGGGCTGACTGTCCTAAAACACAAAGCTCCCCCCCCCACCCGCTTGCAGAGAGTACTCTTTGTATGTGGACATCCTCACATTATCTATAAATGATTGGAACCCTAAAAGAGGGGATCAAGGTATTCTGGGAGGTCTAAGGAAAAAATGGACCTAATGCTAAGCCCAGATGAGGGCCTTTTTAAGAGCAAGAAACAGAAGCAGAATTATTTTATGGTTTCCCATCTCACTGATACAGAAATCAGAGCTGGATGGTATCACAGAGATGATCAAGCCCAACCTCTTTACAGATAAGGAAACTGAGGCCCAGGGAGGTTAAGGGAACTGCCTGAGGTTATAGAGCTAGTTGCAGGCAGGGTTGGCTTTCCAAAGGAGATATATGCATTTTCCCTACTAATAAAGAGAAATGTGTAAGACCCAGTCTCTACCCCTAAGGACATGACCATGAAATTGGAGAGATGATCACACCCATGAAACAACTGCTCCATCTCTGAACCTAAGGGCCAGCTGCACTGTGATAGCTTTACTCTGGTCCCTTCTACCACCAGGAACTCCAGTGGTACCAAGTCACTGCTCGCCTGGGCTCTTTCTGCAATACCCCTCCCCAGGGGTCCAGAGCACTCAGCTGGGCAGGATCCCCTCAGGGAAGATGAACCCATCTGATAAAGTCGCCCACATTTTTAGTTGGCAAAAAAGCATTTGCATTTAAAAAACTTAAGCCTGGGGGCAAGAAAATGCTTAACAAGAAGGAATGATTCAGAGGCAGTAGACCTTCTGTGTGGGGGTGTTGTGAGCTGAAGGAACATCTGATGGAAGGTTCACTACAGAAAAGTCAGAATGCTGCCCCTGCCTGTGGAGAGCACTAGAGAGTCAGTCCTTTTGCTTCCTGTGTTGAGGACCGCGCTGGGGGTGGCTGAAAGCCAATGGAGGAGCTTCCCAAACCCTGCATCTTTCATACATGTGCTGATCCCCACTGAGGAGCTTCCCGCCTCCTGCTGACCATCAACTTAACCAAGTTCCAGCCACAGACCATGAATACTGGTGGGAAGAGGGGTTGGGGGGATGGACAGAGTGTTTGGCTTGCAGCTAACCCTGAAACGGTTTACTGCAAATATGGACACACAAGGCCAGGTCTCAAGTCTCAGAGCCAACCCCAACCTATTGACTTTAAAGCCATGAAGATGCCAAAGACATTCATAGCCACACTGGCCAGAGAGCCCCTGTGCTCTTTGGGGTCCCCTGAACTTACAATCAGATGGTTTCCAGTCTGTGAAGCCCCCAAGTCCCCTACCTCTGCCAACAGGGAGCTGAGGATGTACAAGGACTGACCCCACAGATGGGGCAGCTTCCCCAGAGGAACTCTGTCCACCGTGTGAGGATTCTTATACTCTTCATCTACCTGGCAAAGAGAAAAACCCAAGTCAGAATGTCAGAGGATAAAAAGGCCAACAGCATTGGACCGTGGGGAGTACACTGAAGACTTAGATAACGCCACTCATTTGATCCTCCACACCAATTCTGTGCGAAAACTGGGCCAGGGAGGCTGAGACCCTTGCAGGGGGTGGCTAAAGGCAGCAGAAGCACAACTCAAATCTAGGCCTGGTTCCAGGTCAGTGCTCTTCGCACAAGTACATGGATGGCAAAAGGCAGAGAGATAGGCACTGGAAGCCTGGGCTGCCTTCCTTGAGTGCAGCTCTGGGAAACAAGAAACTCCACAGTTCATGCTTCTATTTGGCTGTATTACGGGTGCAGTGATCTAAACCATCAGCCTACAGCCATAGTAGTGCAGTGCTGGACGCTAGGTCAGGTTGCTATCTTGCTCTCCCCAAGGGTTCGTAAACTCTGTGCCTACGCAAGAAAGTTACCAGAAGGTGGCGCTACTTACTGAGGAAAAACAATTGTACTAGATCACAAATTTTCCATCAGGGACTCAAAAAGCTGAATCCATGAGGGGCTTCTGACTTATCAAAATAAGATATAGTTCTCTCTCTGATGGACAGTGCTGGCTACATGTTGTAAGTACAACTTAGTCTGCAACTTTCTCTGTTGTAAACTCCATGCTGACCTTTGTGTTTTCAGTCATTACAATGTTCACTGGTTGAGGTAATGGCAGTGACCACTTTCTTCCTCCAGAAAACATAAGCCAATTGAAGGAAATAGGAAACATTCATCTTTCTCCAAAGGGGAAAATTGTACCATGAGGCGAGTCATTCTCTACTTGTGGATTAATCAGTGATGTTATTACTATATTTATATTATATATATTAATAAAATTCGCTATATTAAACTGAGAAAAACTTAAGCTCATAAACTGAACAAAATTAAACGTCACTAGTAACCAAATAATCAAATAGGATAATATGTGGAGGGAGATTCTTCAAAACGTCATAGTGGTTGTATCTGTGAGATCAGAATTATTTTCTTCTATAGAGTCCTGGATGTTTTGCAGTGTGCAGGATTACTTATTACAATCAAACTGTACGTTAAAGCTTCGTGAAACGTAAGAGATGTTAAGACTGCACAGATCTGGAGTGGGAAATAGTCGATGCAAAGAACAGAAGGTAGACAAGGTGTCTGGATCAAAAGACAGCATGGCTCTGCCCTCCTCGCATCCACTGCCATCTCCTGCCTCCTTGCGGAGGTTGTGCCTCTCCCCTTCAGTCCTTCCAGTCTGCTTGCATGTCCTGTAACTCACCAGGCCTTTGCAGCCACCACTCCTCTGTCTGCCCTCCATCCCACGAACTTGCTCCTCTGACCCTCCCAGCCTGCAAGCTTGCAGAGGCAGAGCTGGCGTCATGAGCCCTTTGTGCCCCACTACCTAGTCTGCTGCCTGGTCTGGAGCAGCTGCTACATGCACATCTGCTGGGCACATCTGCATTAGTCTCCAGCTGTCCAACAGAGGCCCCCTGTGGGCAGCAGCACCTTGCAAAAGCATGTCCGGCTGAGGAAATGAGTGATGCTGAAACCCAGGCTGGCTGCCGCCTTGGCCCAGAGCTGTGGGCACTCCAAGGATGAGACATTTTTTTCTAATTTGCAAAAAAGTACCATATGGGTTTAAGTGGCCCTCTCTGCAGTGGTCTCTACATGTTACTGATGTGATGGTTGAAACTTCCCAGCTGTCACCTGGAAGCAACCAACATAGACTGTGCTCAACATAAAAGAATGTTCAAAGTCAGTGCTCAGCTGATATGTAAGCACACTGGGGTAAAGGAGGATGTTGAAATGACAAGGAGAAGCCCAAAGGTCAGTGTGGAGTTTAGAAGAGAAGAAAGCTGCAGAGTAACTTTTTACAACATGTAGCCAGAACTGTTCAGAGAGAAAAGGAGGGCTTGCTTATAACACTGAGCCATTTACTACAGTCAGGAAATGTGCCTTTTAGTAGAACACGGATGGATGGTTATTCTCTACCATAAAACAGGTAAAATACCCCTAAAGCTAGTTTATTTTTCCTTGCTCTGCTTCCAGCTCCCAAATTACCTCCCATAACTAATTTTGTTTTGCCAGGTGCCTCAGAACTATTTGCTGAGGTAAACATTAAGCAAAAGGGGCACCTGAACACGTGTTTGCTAGGAACAACCCCTAGCTTCACCGTCAGCCCCTCCCCCACCGACACATACACATCATACATAATAAAATGAATACATTTGCAGGAAATCTAGGTCTCTAACACTCAGAGAGAAAACAGCCCCCGCAGGCTCCAAGGCCTGATTTGCACAGTGAGGGGCTCTCCTCTACAAATGCACTGCCCATTAGGAGGCAGCGTGGGGCTGTGGGGAGGCCCTGCCTTGGAGTCTGGTTCCAGGCAGAGCCCGGTGCTGTCTGAGCTCTGACAGGTTCCACAGCCTCTCTGAACTGAGGCAGATAATTTCAAAGACTCTTGCCAGTCCCCTGACCATGTGCTTGAGGCAACAGGAATATTCGAAAGACAAAGAGCCTTGAATTCTTTCCTTCTAAACATGAAAGAGATATAAGGAAATCTTCCCATTAAAATATATAGGTCCACCATGACCCAATTTAGGAAACTGGATAGAACAAAACTATCTTTGGGCATCTTCTTGGAACTGGCCAGTTTCTCTCCCCTGGTATAGAACGGCTTCCAAGTGGTAACTCAAGCTCTAGCTCAGGAAATGCTCGACTCAAAGGAAGAGATTCTCAACTACCCCTATGCAGGCAGACCTCAGTTCCAGACCACTCCAGTAAAATGAATATAAAGGAAGTCACATGAATTTTTTGGTTTCCCAGTGCATGTAAAAGTTATGTTCACACTATATTGGAATCTATTAAGTGTGCAATAGCATTCTGTGTAAAAGAAATGTATTTATCTTAATTTAAAAATACCTGACTAAAAAATGCTAACCATCATCTGAACCTTCATTGAGTTGTAGAAATAACATCAAAGATCACTGATTACAGGTCACCATAACAAATAAGAATGAAAAAGTTTGAAATATTGTGAGAACTGCCAAAACGTGACATAGAGACACCAAGTGAGCAAATGCTGTTGGAAAAACTCGAGGAAAGGTTGCCACAGACCTTCAGTTTGTTAAAACAACAACAATAACAACAAAAACCAACCAAACAAAAAAGCACTATCTGTGAAGTTGCAGTCAAGCAAGGTGTGCCTGTACGTCTGTCCACTCCCCCAGGGAGATTGTCTGGTTTCTTCTTCCATGGAAACGTGTGAGAACATGGTGCCCAACAGTGTTTTGTGCTTTTTAGGGCCTGTTAGGCCTTGCACTCAGGAGAGGGACAGGCATCGTCTGAAGGTCCTCAAGTGATGCCTCCCTTGGGTACCCAGGTGAAGCATTGGTCCAAAGCCATTCTCCTGGATAGAACACTACCAAAGGCTTTAGAAACCACTTCTCCTGGGGATAAAGTGTTAGGTCTGAAAGGCGCATGAGAAATGCCAAAAGGCCAAGCACCACCTCACTTCGTTCCAGATAAGCAGCACCTGGTTACCTTGTTAGGCGGGATGGCATAGAGTTCGGGCACCAGGTGGATCCCATTCTGGCCTCTGATTAATATCCCCTCCAGGGCCTCTCGGTATTCTTGGACCTGGAAAATAGCCCCATCCCCCAGGATATGCAAGAGGGGTCGTTAGTGCTGTAATGGCAGTGCAACACAGAAAAACAGCTCTCTCGGCAACAGATTAGAAGTAGGACCCAGGGCTAAGAAATGCACATATGCCTTCAGCTCAAGGAGTACAGGAGGAACTGGAACTCTTGCTGACAGCAAATGTTACGAGGAGTTAAATGCGGCTCATAATTTTTCTGTGTTGCATTTAACTCATGATTTAAATATTTCACTCTTAACTTCTCATATATTTAAATTTTGTCTCACCAGCTAGACTATAAACGTCTTGGAATGGAGGCCAGCTCTTAAGCGGTACATCCCATTCCCACCTGTTGGTAATTTTCCACTTAAAAAGCCCTCGTTCAAACATTTATTGCTCAAGAAATATCTGCTGAAGGAATCAGATGTGAGGAAAAGTGTACATACTATGATCCATGTACCCCAATTCTGAGGATGCGCTACTCAATACAACAAAGGTTGTTGATGTAAATGTTTCCATTAAATTAAAAAGGCAGTGATAAAAACCTATATATTAAAAAGGAAATGAAGAAACAGAAAAAACCTTAACCAGCCACCCAGCTATTTAACACATTTCATCTTTGGAGAGCCCAAATGCCTTCCAGATCTCATTTTCTTTTCTTTTGAAATGCATGGACAACAAAGCCTGACACGGTGCATCCTTTTTAAAATGTCACTGGGCAGCAAGTGGAAGAGATAGTACAAGCGAAAAGTAGTAAATTCTGTGGGACCTAGAAAATGAAGTACTAAGCACAGGCTTTTCTGTCTCCTTAGCTTTTTGTTTCTGACAACTGTCAAACTTGTTCATAATTGAAATTCCAACTCAATCCTTTTGAGATCTTTAAGTCTTGGGATAAAAAAGCAAACATAAGATCCATGATAATCACTAAAGCATAAGAGTAAGACTCAATCATGGGGAAATATTAATATTTCAAGCTTAATGATGCTTCTGAAACACCTCGGCATTCCTGAGCGATGGCAGATTTCAAAAACTAAAACGAATCTTAGATTACGTATCCTACCCCAGAACATGTGATCTGAGGAGGTTGCACTTCACCCCCAAAGCAATCAGGAAGCCATTCAAAGCTTTTAAGTAAGGCAGTAGCATAATCTGTTTTTTAATAAGATCACCTTGGCAGTGGTGTGGAGACACAGCAACAAGCGAGGCTGGAGGCTGGGAGACTAGTTAGGAGGCTGATACATTAACCAAGACATTAACTGAGAGTACCTTTAAACTAGAGCTGAAGATGGCGAAACCACGGCTGGTCTGAAAAGAGCGGCAGCAACAAAACCTGTCTGCGGAAGACTGTAATGAGCCCAGCCTCCTCGGCCTCAGCCTTATGTAGTCCCCTCCCCTTGAGTGCCTTGTGATAAAAAGCCCTCAGATGTAATGGATTGGGTCAGGCTAATCAACAGTGTCCAACTGGGCATGCGTGAGTGACCTTTTGACGTCAGAGGGCTGAAAACTCCACCCTCAGAGCGCGCTCAGGACCTCCATTTTGGACTGTGCAGAGGCCTGGAGCTTAGCTACGCTTGTGGAGAATGATGCTTAGCTCATCTTTTTCCAATCAGCTTTCCCCATGCCTCAGACTGCCCTGCTGCTTTATTCTTTATCCCATAAATACCCCGAGCCCCTTGCCGTGGGACAGACAAACCTGAGACTTGTTTGGAAGTAAACCCTCTCTTTGCTGCAAACCTTGGCGTCTCAGGGCTTTGGCTCGCTGGGCTCTGGCAAAACAAACCTGCTTTGGTAACAACAGCTGTTCAACAGCAGAATGCAACAGAAGTGCCATTCTGCCAGTTCTGGAACTAAGCTTTAAGAAAGTTTGGCAGCTTCTGTTTTTGCATTCTGAGAGAAGACGACGACCATGTGAAAAGCCTCACGACCCAGAGGCTGTGAGGAGCCCAAGCTAGCCACATTGTGGGGCGCTCAGGCCCAGGCCAATAGCTAGCATCAAGCTGCCGGCCATGTGAGGGGGGCCGTCTCGGAAGTAGATCCTCCAGCCCCACTGAACCGTCCCAGCTGACACTAGGTGAAGCAGACAACCTGTCCCTGCTGAGCCTTGCTCAGATTACAGAATAATGAGCAAATAAAATAGTTATTGCTTTAATTCATTCAGTTTTGGAAAAGTTTGTTAAGCAGCAGTAGGTAACTAAAACAGTGCCCTAAATTCTTGCATAACCCTATGTTCTAATAATAATCATCACACCACTGGAACGAAATTGCTGATTACCAACACAACACCCACCATTTTCTCACCTGAACGGCATCACCGTTGAAGACCCCATCAATTATGAAATACGTCCAGAACACAGGCCATTCACATTCAATGTTTTCAAAGAGCTTTAGTTCAGCAGGATCATAATGCAATCGGTTTGGGTCCTGGAACCAAACAGGTAAACCCTCTAAAAGGGGATGTCGGGTTATATACGTAATACCATTGTTACTCACTGGGTCTCCCTTGCTTTCTGATTCAATTCAGCTTTGAAGCTGGTATGATTAGGATTCTACTATAATGAGGAGATGCTCTTTTTGGCAGTTTTCCATGGTAAAATTTCAGAGAAGAAAACCAAGTATACACAAGACCCTTTGGTACTTTATTAAGCTTTTTATATTTCTGTAACAAGTAAATAGCAATTTGCATCTCAGTGCTGGGCAGACTATCTGTTTTACTGATATCATTTTATCAGTCACTATGGCAAAGGAACCCAAGGAGGAGGCCACAGTTGGCCTTTTAAAAAACGTGTGAGCCACAGAACTGTTTGTCCTTGTGTACAAGCTGTTTTAAATGACCAGCTTGCTGTCCTCCTGATGATCTTACTATTTTATTGCCTTACTCTAGCTTGCTGATTCCAAAATTAAGACTTCCCTTGCCGATATTCCAAAATGTAATTTTTATAATCAAAAGAGGGAGAACACTACAGTGGCAACTTAGATATGAAGCAGTTAAGGAATCAGAAGAAACAATCTTTAAATACAACCTCTCTTGGGGTTTTATAACCATCTCGAAGGAAGCGACAGCATCCATAACGCCCCTAAGAAGATAAAGAAAAAAGGTGCATTTGATGAAACATAAGAATTTCTTTGCCTTTTTGATTCAAGTCAGCCCTTCACCTCCTTTCCCATGAATCTTTTAGTAACGAAATGACTACCATGCACACTTTGCTATCAGTACAAAAAGTTATTTTAAAGTCATAAGCAAAGTAAATTCAGATTTGATCAGTGCTTGGAAGGGAATACCAAAACTTCCCACTAAAGTATCAGGGATGCAAGAGGTCACTGAATCAACATCCTTCCATTGTGATTTGCTGCATTGTGTAAAGATGCTGAAGGACCCTCACTGCTTGGAGAAGCCGCCCAGACAGACATGTGGATTGGACTGCTTCTATTTCAAAGACTGGAAAGCCACAAGGACATTCCAGATTCTTCAGTTAGTTAGGCCCTGGATGCAAAGGAGCCTGCTTCCTGCAAGAGGTAGGGCAGGGAGGTGGTGGGGCTTCCTATGGCTTAGGGCCCTGGCTGCTGGTTTTCCTGCTGCAGGCTCGTGTTCCTCTCCGGCTTCTTGGGTGTCACGAAAGAAGGACAATGGCAGTGTTCTCTTAATCTGCCTCCCTAATCCCTGAATCGCACTGTGAGGTGTACATTCCCCATATCTTAAGTGCATGGGGCTGCTCTAGCACTGGCTGTGGAGGCCAGCAAGCTCCTTGTGGCCAGCCCCACAGTGTTCAGGGTGTCCTGGTGAGGCCCAGTCTAGAAGCTGCTCCCCTTGAAACACTTCATTCCCTACCTTAACTCCCTGCCTACTTCCCCAAAACAAAGAGGTTCTGTTTTCCCCACTGGCCCCTGGCTGAGGCAGCGCCTATTTTGGGGGATACAGTTGGAGACCCTGTACCCCTTTGTTTACAAAGGCTAAAAGCATTTTTCACCAAATCTCAAGAGGATCATCAACATGCAGATTTCACTTTAGGAAACTTACTCTCTTTGATCATTTTACTGATAACTTCAGTTGGCTGCAGTATTGAATAACCTTCCCAATTTGGTGTAATGTGTCATAGTTCCTGCATTTCACCTCAGAGCAGGGATTTTTTTAACCTCAGTTTAACTTTGGGATCGCCAAGTATTCAGAAATTGTGTGAAGAGTTTGAGGATATTGGGACATATGCATTTTTTTTTTGGCAGGGACTTTATAGCTTTCAAGAGATTCTTGAAGGAGTCTGTCTGTGATCTCCAAAGGGTTAAGAAGCTCTGCCTTAGAAGTACAGGAGTGGTACTAATTGGGATTCAAAGGTGCCAGCTTGAGTTGAAGCTCTGCTACTTAGAAAGAGAATAAGGCACTGATCACTCTGTGACTTCTTTTTCTTACCTCTAGACTCAGCTTTGGATACCTCCCTCTGTGAGTCCACTTAGATACTAAGCCACTGACCTCATAGAGAACCAAGGCCTGGGTGAGCTGCTCCATGTCACTGTCTGAAAGGGGCACTTTACAGAGGGCAGAAGGGCACCAGCATGACCAATGCTTACCTGGAGCTTGGAAATAATTTCATTTTTGGTCACATTCACAAGGTTCACATCTTCCACTGCAAAGGCCGGGAAAGAAATAATGGAAAGAAGCCCAGCATCAATCTCCTTAGACGTCGATGCTCTTGGCAGCATGGAGAAGAGAATAGACTGAAGGAAAAACAAACAGGTGGCTTTAACCTGGGAAGTACTAATAGTGACAAACAGTATCTAGAGACTACGACTTTACCCCAAGGGAACATCTGAATGAGTCTGCCAATTTTAGTAGAGCTTTTTCCTACCAACATAGCCCTTGCTGGGTAACCTTGCCTACCCAGCCAATGCTTCCTGTTCCTTGCAGGAGAAAAGGGGGTTGGGGAGAGTGGTGGTATGCCTGGAACCCATGCTGAGAACTGTGTGTCTCCCTTCCTTCCATGCCTTCTGTTGACCTTGCTGGGCCTTTAGGACACACAGAAGAGGAGCTAAGGACTACCTTGTCAGCAGGCTAGTGTGTCCTGGCTGTAAAGAGAGAGACAGAGAAGAGAACACATAAAGGGCCAGCATGGAGAAATGTCTGGCTTCTGTGGAATGTGACCAGTTGGACTGGGTGACCCAAGAGCCACTTCAAGGAGTCAAATCCAGAAGACCACATGAACAGGCAAAAAGGTTTAGTTGAAACAGAATTAATTTGGTCCTAGAAAGAATGGGTTACTTAGTGGCACTATAATATGGCCTCAATTATAAGGTGGTTGCATTAGGCACTGTAAACTAAAGGAAGGTGAAATTAAAAAGAAAAGTTCAGTAAGGGAAGGGAGCTAACACTGGGATCTAACATGTATAGACTTGGGACTAGACCCCTGCAGACATAAGCTTATTAAATCTTCCATACAAAGAAGGAACTCGAGAACTATGTCCAATTCACACATGAAGACTCAGATACAGAGATTCAGGCTGAAGAGCATGAAGCTAGCCTGTGACAGAGCTAGGATTCTAACCCAGGCTCAGCTGGCTAAAGAGCTCATGCAAATTCCACTAGGGTCTGCCCAATTATAAGATGCATACCAGCTTGACTTTATTAAACCTTACCCCAAGATCTAGCAGATTCCCCATTAAGGACTATTTAATGGGGGAAAATGGAATGAGCTAGAAGTAGGGGGTACATATAGGGGAACCCTTCAGCTTCAGAACAAAGCTTCATTTTCTAAAGCCAACTGACCCCAAGCCCAGTTCTTGAACTAGTCACTGCTCCTAGGCTCTCTCTGCCTGAAACATATACCCCAACCGGAAGGAAGCTCTCTGCTTACAAGTTTGTATGTATCTCATTCCCACAGCCCCAGCATAGTACCTGACACACAGGGAGCCCGCACTACAGAAGAGTTTGCTGATTTGCCAGCTACTAGTGACCTACTATCCACTAAATGCATTAAATCACACCTTTCTCTGACCTGTATTCTATAGAGGTTCTACTAATTTGCCATTTCTCCCATATCATCTCTCCTCCACCATCCGTTCTGCCCCTCCCCATTCTCTCCCCAAGTGAGCTACTGCTTGCTAGTCATCTAATTTGGGGACTTCATGAAATAAACCTGAGAGAAAACCACCTATATGCTCAAAAAACATAAAGCAGATTTTGCCTCCAACAAAACAAGGTTGCCTTGATTGTTGCCTCCATATATACATCATTGTTGTGTCTTATGTTTGCACAGTACTTTCTTACAAAGTACTCTGACAAACTAAGTTGATTTACTCTGATCCTTATGACTGCCTTGTGCAGGAGGAGGGAAAGGGACCAGTATGCTCATTTTATGAATGAGGGAACTGAAGCTCAAAGAAGCCAAGTACCACCAAGCTAGGAAGGTGAGGAATCTGAACTGGAGCCCAAGTCTTCCACTCCATGGGTCTCCTTCCCTACTCTCTGGAATGTGAGAGGTTTGAGCCATTACCTGGCAGTGTTCGACCTCATCGGGTAAGACGTGGATCACGGACTTGCGTCCTCCATGGGCTCCAAAAAGGTCCAGTTCGTCAATTGCCTCCAGGGCTGCCTACAAGCACAGGTATGAAAGACTTTCTCTTTCTAGTAAACATACACTCCTATATCTGGTACTCCATTTTCATTAAGCAATCTAGCATATACATTTCCCCAAAGGTGATGAAACCCATCTTTAATCCAGCTAAAGTGTCCTATGCTCGTGTTCTATCCTTATTTTCAGGGGATAACAGCTTTCCTGTGTTTTGCTGCTCATTGCAGGAACAAGAAAGAAAATAGAAAATCATTTCCCAAAATTAAACGAGTATTCTATCAAAAAATAAAATATTAACAACATAGCATTGTGTGTGTAAAGGGTGGGGGGGTGGCTAAGTTCATGGTCGGCTTTTCTTTCACCTATTTGAGCAGTTAACTTCTAACATTAGCATATTTGGCGCTTAAGAAAGTTAATTCTTTTAGTAGTAAGTATGTTTTCTGTCAGTTGACCTTAACAGAGCATCTTTATTGTTCATTTAAAAATTCTTGTTCTGGAGTCTTTAACTCTGTCCAAGATTATGCTTCACTCTTGAGGAAGAGGGGAGGGGGAGGCAGGCTAAATGTCCAGAACAAGAGACAGGTAAACTGGTGGCCAGTAGGCTGAATCTGCCCCACCAGCATGTTCTGCTTGGCCTGAGGAAATTTTTTAAATGATTTTGAATTACAATACCTTTAGAGAAAGTTCCCAGTGTCCCCAATACTCCCTGATAGTTTTCTATCTGACCGGCTTCTCTTGTTTATGTTACTCACCAGACCTGACCCTGCAGACTCAAACTTGTAAGCCCTGCCCTACAAAGTGGTCATGTTTTTTGGCCCTCTTCATGACCCAGAAAAGAAGACTGGATATCATACCTCCAGCTTCTTAGAAAACAGTAAGAGCTTAGACTCGTGCATGGTAACAGTGGATAATGAGGAGGGACATGCAGGCACATGCAGATTTCGATGTAGGAAACCTACATTCTTTTCCTATAATTTCAGCTGGCTGGGGTACATGTGCCACTTGAATTTCACACTTGCTGCTGACTTTTGAAAAATATGCTAATCAGATTAAATCCAAACCTCTAATGATAAGAACCAAATCAAAGCAGTTAAAGACACACAGAAGGAAAAACAAACAGGATGAGACCATCACCTTGGCCATTCCTACAGAGCTTGCATTCAGTTCTGGAATGCCCTGATTAGTCTTATCTCCACGTTCCCACATTCCATAATCCTGCAGGAAAAAAAGGTAGTAATCAGAGCAGGAAAAAGAGGTATATGAGAAGTGCTATGGAAAAATGACCCCTTTATGTCACTGGATACCTCTTCTCGAAGGCTACCAAATTCATGGCTTTACATACTCAGGCTGTGTTCTTTCTCGATTTCAGTTCATTTGATAGCTGTGTAGAGTTTTGGAAGTAAATATTCAAGTGGAACAAAAATGCATGCAAAGACACTCTCAATTTTCTTATTTCTAAAAGTTATTTGTATGAAACTCTTGATAAGTAGAGAACAAAATATTTTATCTTAAAATAAAAGGCTGCCCATTTAGTTAACTAATCCTTTTGAACTTACATTAAATTGTAAGATGGAATAAAGAAACTTTAACAAATGGGTTCCAACTAGGTGAAGCCAATGAAACCATTTAAAATAATTTAATACCTATTTCCAGCATTACCTCTGGTGAAAAAAAAAAATGCTTAGCAAGTAATGGGAGCGAAAGTCAAATTTTGAAACAAATGAATATGAATTGGCTTAGAACAGCCTGTTTACCTACAGGACTTGATATATGCATACTTAACTTTTATAATTCATATTTTCACTTAAGAAATCCAAGCACTGGATATCATTTTGAAATAATGCTATATGTACTATTGAAAGATTACAACCCAAGAACAGGATCGATGCCAAATTTTTGGTGTTTATTATTATTAGAGAAAGATAAATATTTTGAAAATGTGAAAATTTAGATACAGACACACTGGAGCAGCTTCAGGGTCTCCCGTGCCATACAGGCCTTGGAGCTGAGCCCCAGGACCCCTTCTTTCAGTATTCCTCCCATCTGGGCATTTCCGCTCCAGCCCATTGTCACTCCAACCCCAGAGCCAAGTGACTCATCCTTAAAAACTGCTTTGATCAGCTCACTCCCTGGCCTAAGAGTATAAAATGATAAGCTTTATTCCCTAGTTTATCACCTTCAAATCTCTCTCTCTGGATGGCCAGACATCTAGTATTCAGCTCCACCTCTTGCATGCCCACAAGCTGACTTTACTTTCTACTATTCTCACGTACTCAGCTGCCACCCTAAGAATACTCCTTCACTCTGCATCCCCTTCCCCAAACACCCCTCCCACACTCACAGCCTGTTCCTGCCTCCCAGCTACTCCTGCACCCTCTTCTCTCCCTTCTGTTGATCTAAACCTTACTCATCTGCTAAGGTCCAGCTAAAGTCCCGCCCTTTCCCAAGTTTATTTAGACCAGGGTTTGTCAACTTCAGCACCATTGACATTTGGAGCCCGATCATTGTCTGTTGTGTGGGGCTGTCCTGGGCACTGCAGGATGCTCAGCATAATCCCTGGCCTCTACCCACTGGATGCCAGTAGCACCCTCCTCAGAGTGACAGCCAAATATATCTCCAGACATTGCCAAATGTCCCCTGGGAAGGGAAGATGGCCCCTGGTAGAGAATCACTGCTTTAGACCTGGGGTCGGCAAACTACGGAACCTTGGACCAAAACTAGTTTGCCACCTGTTTTTGTAAATAAGGTCTTCTTGGGACACAGCCACGCTCATGAGTCCATGGGCTGTCTACCGCTGCTCGTGTGGTGCAACGGCAGAGCTGAGTAGCAGCAACAGAGAACATAGAGACCACAAAGCTGAAAGTATTTACTCTGTGGCCTTTTACAGAAAAAGTTTGCTAATCCTTGCTTTAGACCACAGTGGCTTTTTTTTCCCAAACAAACTCTTACCCTTTCCTTACTGCCCTCATGGTCAGCTTTGCACAGTTTAGTTGTTCTCTAGAAGCGAAACTCCACCCTCCATAGCAGACAGAAGCCTGGAGGAACTGGGTTTATACACATTTACACCCGCACACACCTGGCCCTGGGCACACATCTGGCTCCGGCCCGTCTACCTGTGGGCTGCCTGACATCATCCCCACGGCACCCCAGCTCCTACCAAGGCGCTGATGCTGTTGCCCTTCACCCTGTTTCAGGCCGGCCTGTGGACGTGCTGCAGGATATTTTAGGGTTTTATTTAAAATAAGCATAATGGATTCAAACAGAGCATGCGGCACATTCCAAAAACAAAAACTCCCCAAATGAGTCCCTGGACAAAAATGTACACTTTGTGTGCAGAGGTGACATAATCTTATGGCTCTAATCTTACTAACCTTATGACCAGCCCCAAACAGCCTGGTCCTCAAAGAACTATATGATTTTTATTTTTTTGACACTGGGACACCTGAAAAAAACCACTGGGTTTGACACTTACAGCGACTTTATATGCAGCTTCTATGTAAAAAACAAGATTCTGTATGAAGGCCACCTCATCAAGGGTGAAAATAATACGTAAACCTAGTAGAGAAAAACAAACAATGAAGTTATTTTGTGAAGAGAGAGCTGCCAATTACAAATTACAAATATTACACTAGGAAATAAATTCTTTTACCCCCATTTTCATTCTTCTTACTAGAACATCAAAAATTATCTGAAGTAAATCATAGCAGTTCATGTCTAATCTCAGAAGGAGGAAGGAAGGAAGGGAAGAAGGAGAAGAAGGAAAGAATGGCTCCACTTTTGTGTGTGTGCCTACAAGTAGAAAGGATTGAAAGAGATGTGGGGCCTTCAGGTATGTTAGATTTGCAGAGAGAGATTCCACAGAGCAAGCATTTTAGCCCAGAACAAACATTGTCCTTATCTTTGAGTAAGCCAAAGGGTGGGAACTATCCCCCAGTGGCAGACAGGGAAAGTAGAGCCTCCAGCTGCAGGAGACAGCCCTTCACCTCTTGGAAAGGCCAGCTCCCAGGACATGCCCAGAGGGCTGCACCAACAGCTGAAGCAGGCAATGGCCAGGAGAGCTAGATTTTGCTTCAGTCCCTGAATGTATAGCTTGCTATGGCAGACACATATTTTTAAGGTATGAATTCTTGAAGCTGGTATGGGTATAATATACTGTTACATCACTGGGGGTGTTTAACTAGTAAACTGTTCTGAGAACAATTTGGCAATAAGTATGAGTAGCCTTGATATCTAGCTAATGGAAGGAAACAAATAGAGATGGGGTCAAAGTGGGTACTATAACATAGTTATAATAGCAAAAAAAGAGAAAGAACAGTTAAACTAATTATGGTATATCCATTAGTAAAGTTGCAAAAATCATGTTTATGAAGAGCATGCAATATCATGGGGGAAATGCCTAAGTTATAATGTTATTTAATAAAAAGACTATATTTAGCATACAATATGATCTTAACTACGTAAAAAATGCATAGAAAAAAAACTTGGAGGAGACACAGTCAAATGAAAACTGGCAGTGGGCTTTTCTTTGTATTTTGTTATATTTTCCAAAATATGTACAGTGATCTCACACTAATTTTCACAACCAAAACGTATTTTTTTAAGTGCCTGGTTTATTCACAAAGCTATAAATAACAATTACTGATTTCTCCTACTTTTGGAGTTTCACATTTGTAGTCTGAGATAGATGGGAAGGCTCTAACTCAGGAGTGTGAGTTTATAGGACTGGAGATAAGACCTCTGAGACGCAGCAGCTAAGTGACCTAATATGGCCATTTGGTTCACAGAGCAGGGTGGCAGCCTGGCGCTTGGGAGGCCTGGTGTCTAGGCCTTCATGAAAGACCACAGCTCGGGCTTCAACAAGAACAACGTTCACCGTCCAGAAGTTTATGGCCCACTCATATCATGGGCACTATGGACTGAAAGACAACTCTGGGCACAGTAGTGACTTCTAGAAATTACGCTGTTTGATTATAATTTGGATAAACAAGGGTGCGTCTAGAAGAGGGAGACCAGGGTAGTGAGAAGAAGAGCTGAAGGACCAAGCCTGCTGCTTCTGGAGAAGAAAACTCGAAGACAGGATATGACAGTATATGCAGATATTTGAAATGGGTTTTTGGTGTTTTTTGTTTTTGGTTTGTATTTGGCAACAGGAGGTAATTAGGTTTGTTGGTTTGTTGGTTTCTTTGTTTGTTTATAGAGGAGGTACTGGGAACTGAACCCAGTACCTCGTGCATGCTAAGCATGCGCTCTACTGCTTGAGCTGTACCCTCCTCTTGAACTGTTAAAAGTAGATCTGATCTAGGTTGTCCAGTAATTAGGGGACAGTGACAGCAAAGAAGCTTTGGGATCAATCAGCAAGGTGCTAATAGAGCCAGCACAACAGCCTTCGTCCTGCAAGGGATTGGGAGGCAGACTGTCGACAGAGCCAGAGTCAATGCACAGAATGCAATGCAGAAAGCAGCATGCTTTTTCTTTACAGAAATAGCTTATTTTGAATACTGATCAATGCCTGCCCCTCCCGGCCCCCTTTGGGGTTGTCACTCCCAGTACAATGGGCTCAATCAGCCCTGGCTCACCTGAGGCAGTCATCTGGGCCAGGAATAGGAGGAAGAGGGAGGTGGCATCCACCTGGAGGTGGCCCCACTGGTCGTCGCCCACCACAGTGCTATAGGTGGCGGTGTTGTACTTGGCATGCAGGCTGTCCTTGGTACTCTGAGTGTGCTTGAACTTCTCCACTTTATCCACCTGAGGGAAAAAGCAAGTGGCTATGCTGTACGTAGCTAAAGGGTTCATTCCTGGCAAGGTCAACCTCTTGGATCTAGACCTCCAATCTGCTAACTCGGGGAGCCAGAGGGATGGAAGGCAGGGCATGGGTGGTGCGGGGGATTCCTCCTGCCCATCACCAGAAGTGTCTGAGCCCAGTGGGATTATAACAAGCTCCGCAGGGGTGAGAGGGCAAGCCAAAAGGTCTCCTTTTCCATGTACCCCCAGCATGCACTGTGACACCCAGCAGGCACTCAATGAGAGGGAGGGAGAGAGTGAGGGAAGAGGGGAGGAAGAGGACTCTTCCTTTTAAAATTTCAACTTCTCGTTTCCTTATGGTGAAAGGAAAAGAGCAACAATGTCTTTGAAGATTAATGGGGCACATGCTGATTAAGGGTGAGGATGGTATCATATTTATCTTGGAATCTGTGCAGATCCTAGTATGATCTGTATACATTAAATGCACAACGAAGTCTTTTATTTACCCCTCACTGAAAATGCCAGTAAATAGAAATGTCAAGTTTAAAAAACTCTAGCATTTCAACTCAAAAGAAACTCTCTTATAAACGCAACAGAATAAAAAATCGTACATGACTTAAAGTCATGTGGCTTTAAAAACAATGTTTTATTCTCCATTTAGAAGAAAGGGCATAGTGTCTTTTTACACAAGTAACTCTCTAAGAGATTCTGAGAAACTGTCCTTTGAGTCTGGTTCTATAGTATAATAAAATTATCTTCGATAATTTTAAAAGGAGAAAGTGAGCAAAATATTTTCAATTTCTCTTCATCTTGATAAGAAAAGCTCAAAACACTATGTTAGTTGTCACCATGAAAATGACAAAACACCCACTCAGATGACCCAAATGACCCCAAGATACATCTGTCATTTTCTGCCTACCTGTCTCATCATGCACTGGAGAAGACCCCGCATCAGTTTCACCACGTTCTACGGAAATAAAGTGGGATCAGTTACAAGGGCAGCTTCCCTGCTCCATGAAAACCTCCTTATCACGTGGCTGGCAAACCAGTGCCGCGTGGAGCCTTCCCCGAGAAGGCAGAACCGGGCATGTACAAGCATTCTGATGATTTAGATTATTTCTAGCTCTCCACTCCATCACAAAGAAAATCCTGACGAAGAGACTTATCTCAAATAAAGAAGCTGGACCAGATGGTACCACCTCACTCTGAAATCACTGGATCCTGCTATTTTAGCAAGACAATTTTTATAAGCCTAGCACCCTGGAGCTTTATGTCACAATTCTTAGTAATTTATTTTTGTTATGCTAAGGATGAATTAAGTCCACCATACCTGCCCCAGAGTAATGATGTTTTGCCAAAATAGCCATTTGTGACACCATTACTGAACTATTGAGTAAAGTTCTTCCAGTATGCAAGTAGCTGCCAAGGCTTCTTAATAATATGTACTGGAAACAATTATTATAATTATTATCATTATAAATAATAACAATGCTATGATAATCAGACATTCTGCCCCAGTTTTGTACAAAACACTTTACCTGGATTCTCACTAATTCTTGCAACAACCTTATGAGGTGGGTATTATTGTTTCCCCACTTTATAGATGAGGAACCTGTGGCTGAGAGAGATGAAGCAACATTGCTAAAGTCTCCCAGCTGGCAGGGGGTGGAGCAAGGACGGAGCCCAGGCCGACTGACTGCAGAGTTTGAGTTCCTAGTTGATACACTATGTTACCTCCCACTTCCTCCACAATTCAGGCCCATTGTAAGACTGGTCTTCATAAGTCCTATTAAACAAACTCTAAAACTACTCCACAAGGGGCTGGAGAATGGGATATTTTTAGGTCAAAGTAGACTGGCTGAAAGAAGTTCCCACCCAGGGCCATCAGCATTGCCTCCCTTACAGAACGTACAAGGTTTGCAGGAGAAGCAGCACCATGGAAGTTAACTGCCAGAGAAAAGTCTGGAATGGATCACCCTTCAGATTCTTCTACCTCTAAGATCCTAGGATTCTAGAGTATAATCTCATTGTATGTCATAAACTCTTTTGAGGCAGAAAATATTCCCTCATAATTAAAAGGTATAGTCAACACTTACAATTAACATTTCCTACAGTGTGTGGCATAAACATTTGTCAACTGACTTCCCCTCAAATAAAGAAAAGTTATTTTCCATTGTGAAGAAGCACAGTGGTTCCCAACTGAGGGTGACACTACCATCCCCGGGTTGGGGGTAGGGGGCACATCTGGAAATGTGGGGGTAGATGCATTTTTACTGTCACCGTAGGGGGGCGGGGGCTATGGGCATTTAATGAGTAAGGACCAAGGACTCTACGTGTCCTGCAACACATGGGGCAGTCCCACACAATGAATAACTATACTGCCTAAGCCCCAAAGGCAATGGTGTCTCTGTTGAGGATCACTGGACGAGCCCGTGCTATTTTCCATAATTTAGGGAGATTAAGTCTACTTTAGTTATATAACTACACTCAACAAATCAAACAATGTGGCCTGTTAGTGCTTTGCCATCATCAGTCACAGAATGACAAATCTAACCCACTCAGAAATTGCTTACAGGGGAAAGGTAGAGGGTGTGTGTGTGTGTGTGTGCGTGTGTGTGCGTGTGCATGCAAGGCATGGCTTTACTTCGGTTTTGTCTCAGAGGATGATAGAAAGTTTGGAGAACATCAACATCAAATTATACTGTTAAATGAATGATTCCCTTATGTAATAGTCATCCAACTTCTTGAAGGAGCATTTAGTGCTTGCTGTACACATTTTAAAAGAAGCTACCCATTCTTATATAATTCAAAAAGACATATGCACCCCAATGTTCATAGCAGCATTATTTATAACAGCGAAGACATGGAAGCACCCTAAATGTCCACTGACAGATGACTGGATAAAGAAGATGTGATTTATATATACACAATGGAATACTACTCTGCCATAAAAAGAATAAAATAACGCCATTTGCAGCAATATGGATAGACCTGGAGATCATTTTTCTAAGTGAAGTAAGTCAGAAAGAGAAAGAAAAATGTCATGTAGTATCGCTTATATGTGGAATCTAAAAAAAATGACACAAGTGAACTACATATTATTTATAACTTAGATGATTAATTTCTTGAATATGTGTAAGCACATTTTACTGTCCTTTATGATTGTATTTACTGCATTCTGTTGATTC